CTCGAGTCGAATCTATGTCACAGCCAAATGTATCACAATACGCATGCCTGGAAATGAAGTGTTTCATCGATTGAGGCTCACACGCCCTGTCGCTGATGGAAACGCAAATGTGAGATTCTGGACCTAGGCTGAGCTGGCACGATCCCTCCAAAGCACCTTACACCCTCACATGTGTCCACAAAGTCGAAAGTTCCTTTGAGCTTCTCGCCAAGATTGCACTTGTCAAGAGAAGATGTGTCCTGATTGAATGCCAATCTCATCGCAGAATCTGTGGCATGAGGCGGATCCAGCTTCCGATTCAGACTCCGACTCGGCACCTACGCTACCAGGTAGCTGAGGGTTCCAAGATGCTCGGATTCGAATGGCGGTTTGGCGGTTTGGCGGGTGCCAGGCTTTGCCTGGCAGTCCGAACAGGGGTCAAACTCGGGAAAGAGAAACCAGCGGCTAGAGCCTTAGAAGCATAGGTGACCTTCTACAAAGCATAGATGGCCCTGGTAAATGCAGTAAACAACTCATCTAAACCAGCGCCATCTTCTACAAAACATAGATGGCCCTGGTAAATGTAATTAAAACATCTAAACCATTTTTGACCAAGCTCAACCAAAAGGGACATGCTTGGAAGTGACAACTCGCGCGCGGTGTCAGGTCCTCCAGGATTTTGCCGCTTGCGATAAAGCGCACTGATCTCTGCGCCTGGTCAGTAGCCAAAGTCCGTTGGATTCAGGGCCCGTGCACTGTCCTTCGGAGCGGCACCCCTGTTGGGTTGGTTTTCCAACAGGAAGCCGCGCTCTCTAGTCTTTGTTTTGTTTCTTTTGCTATTGTGATTTTTCCATTTTTCCGTTTTGCTTTTGTGTTATTTTTGTTCGTAATTATTTTGTCGCTGTTTTTGTTGATCTCGATTTTCTTTTGTTGTTTTGGGGGGGGGACCGTTTTGAGACAACTGTTCAAGCTGGTTTCCAAAGCTCCAAGGGTTGGACATTTCCGGAAAGCCGAAGGAACCTTTGCTTCGCTCTTTCCTATCTCTCCCTGTCCGTCTCCTTCTGTTGAAGGAAGATAGGCAGAGAGAAAGAGATAGAGAGGCTGGACATCTCCTAATCTGGACTCACTTTAGGACATCTTTCTCCTATCCTCTCTCACCGTCTCCCTTTCACCACTAAGAATTGACTTTTGGGAAACGGTTCTCTCTTTCTCTTAGTCATGTCCAGTAGTCAACGGCAACCGGATCTTGCAGAGACTCTAGCCATTTTTCATGGAGTTGCGGACACTTCCCAAAAGTAAAGACAGTACACGGCCAGGTGAATCCACCAAGCGGTACCCCACTTCCAAAGCCAAGCTTGCTGGTTCCCCAGGGGGCTCACCTTGCGGACGTCCCTGAGCAAGGACAGCCAGAAGTCACAATAAAAAACCTGGTAACGTGGTCTAACCAAAACACCTATGGTAAAGAATCAAGAGGGCGGATATACGCAGGTTAGCACTGTTGCCTGCCCAGCTTCACTTACCGAGTTTTGATAGTGTCCTGGCCAAATAAAACCTGCACCGGGCGATTTGATATGGAGCTCCTGGGAACTCTGTTTCTTTGATGGTTCCCACCACGCCCAGCCCACCCTCAGGGAAATACCGGGGATATTTTTGTCTTTGTCACAGTGGCCATGTAGTGTAATTCCCATGAAACCTCTAGTGGCTTGGGGTTCCTTTGGAACCGAACGAAAACGAAGACGCGCGCGCGCCTGCAGGGCATCTGCAAACAGCTGGCGCTTCAGGGCGCCCACAGTCTGCCTTGGATCCTCCACCCTGAAACTTTGGCCTCGGTGCCACTGTGGCTCTAGGCAACGTTTTGGCCGAACATGATTAGACATGTACATTAATATACATATTACGCACATATGTAGATCAGCTACGGCAGTTGCTTGCTACAGGGTTGAATGGTCGGGTGTTCCCACCTCGTTCTCCAACCCTGCACACGTTTGGCCTCATTGACCTCGTTTTCACCAACGCTGCAGGCGAATGGGATCTCAACTACCTATATGTCACGGCCCTACCTCGTTTGGAGGTGTTCATGATGTGTCCGCCTTGAACTGCACTCTTCTGCAAACAAAGGCAGTCGATCACATGCATTTCAGTCCTTTGCTCGATAAAAAAAAAAGCGCCTTTTCATTGCACTGCATATCACGTCACATTGCGGTCAGAAGAAGTTTTCCGTGTTGGCTCGCCCCGTGAGGTCGGGGAAGTCGTTGGCTGAAAAGGCAAAAGCCATAAAATAAAATATCCCAGCATGCACACATGTGAATCATATATTCATATGCATATACGCATAATTGAGCAGCCCAACACCCATTGAATTTGGGTTCTACTAATATAGTTCTAATGGTGTACATTAAGAAAGTTCAGAACCACCTACCCAGAAATGGCCAGTGGGCATGTTGGGCGCTGCGCAACTCTTCCCCTCGCGCGCCGAAGTAAGAGGCAGACTACCATGGGAAGAAGTGCCAGCCTGGTCAAGCCGCGGATGCGGAGGGGCGATGCGGAACCTTGACAAGTCCTGCGAGACTTTTCGGCGAGATCAATTCAAGCCTGTTTCTTGGTTGACGTTGGAAGAGGAGCAAAATTCAAACTTTAGCAAACTTTAGCAGTTCAGTGGGATTTCCCAGTAAACCACAATTAACAGATGTAAAATGCTGCCCAAGAACAATCATGGTTTGTGAAAGTCCTCAAGGATCTCCTGCCCAACCCCTATGGGCCATGCCCCATAGCAAGAAGCTGTGTCCGGGTTGGGTTTTGAATGGACATCAGGTTGCTGTTGCGAGACCGCTTCATTGACTCAGCTTCCATCTTGGTTTGGAGTGGTTCAGAAGTCAGCCGCTTCGATTTGGTTTTGACAGAGGCTCCCAGGGCTGATTTGGTTTACGGCCCCTCATTCACAGCTGGCCTGGCCCTATCCTCTGAAGAAAACATCCCAAACGGCTCAAGCTTGGTCCGCACCAATCCAAACCAAAAAAGAGAACTCACCCTCCAACGCCCCGCCTGGAAAACATTGAAGTGCAAGGTGATGGGGTCCATCGCTATAATATAAGCTGCTGTACTTCCTCGGCCGATACGCGAGCGCACACGCGTATGATACGCACAGTTGTGCATCCATGCATCCATACATGCATGACCAGCCAGCCATGCAAACATACAAACATGCACTGCGTTCAAATACAATATACTAACATCACTTTGCATGGCATTACGTTGCATCCCAACAAGTACATAAACACAAATCGCATTGCAGTGTTGCTTCACACAACATGCAGCACATCACATCGCACCAACCACATCGAGCTCTTGCCTGCCATGACGCCACAGCACGACACAGTGTAACACGCCACATTTCTCTCAAACGGCGTGTTGGACACAAGAAATGCTCCTTACCTGGTACTCCAGTGTCCAAGATCCCCAGCAGGGAGAATTCCAATGGAAGACGTCCAAAGGGAGAACAACGGGAAAATTAAATGGGATCTCCACTGGGACAATTCCAATGGGAAAAGTCCCATTGGAACAAATTCCAATCGGAGAAACCCAATGGCATAACTTCCATGAGATAATTCCAATTGAAAAATATGAAAGGGAAAAGTCCAATGGGACGATTCCAATAGACATGTCCGAAGGGAAAAGTCCAACGGACCATTCAACAATGAGAATTCTGGAACATGTGCAGTGGGATACCTTCAAAGCGTCAATTGCAATGGAATTATTTCAGAGGGAGGATTCCTATTGGAGACATCCAATAGGAGGGTGTTGAATGCGAAACTGTTCAAAGAGACGTTCCAAGTCGAAACACAGCTACACTACAGAAATATGAACTGACTCAAGTTCACGTTAATATTCACGTTGCACGTCACGTCTCCATATGATATGTATATATATATATAGATATTCACCTTCGATCATTACTAGGTTGTCACAACTGGTACATGGGACTGTTGCAACATTTGTTGTTGCCATGCTAAGGTGAGGTCCATCAAACCCAACACACCCTAGAACGGAAACTGCCAAAGAAACATGACGGTAAAGGCTGCCAGAAGGCACGGGTTGGGATTGCCAAAAAACCTGTACTTGTTGATGGACAAACTCCTGCCCAGGTTGGGATGAATGACATTCTGCAAGTATAGGGGCTAACTGCCTACGACTTGGTGCGGGATTTTGTCCGTCCACAGGAATTTGGCAACAGACCTCGGCTGCGGAGAAAACAACAAAACTGGGCTGTCCTCAGATCCCCCACTCAAAGCTTCACGTTTAGTGGGTTAAATGGACATCCAACCACTAAACACTCAAAGATGCTTAAAGCTAAGGAACCGGATGGCCGGCTTCGACACCAAGAAAAAACGCAACTCCCTCTGCTCTCGCCGGGGCTCTCAAGTTGCCGCGTTTCTGCAACTCTGCAAGGCGGGGCAGCGTGGGCGTTTGTCAGCTGTCCTTGAGCCTCACGATGAACGTGTTTCAAATGCTTCGACTGGCCAACACTTGGCTGACGTTGGAAGGGGAGCAAATATATATATATATATATATTTTAGCAGTTAAGCTTCCCACTATACCACAACAAGCGGAAATGTAAAATGTTTCCCAACAACAACCATGAACATAGCCATAGGAGCTTCAGTCACTGCGCAACTGATGTAATGTTCAAATGCATTCTTTTTGAGCCTGCCGCTTTCAGCAAAGCAACTGACGGCTTCGCCCTCCCATTCTGGGCACGAGCGTGTCAGATCCTCATGAGCTCAAGTTCAAATCTGGCTGAGCCTTTGTCAGCCCGCACCTTTTGGGCGCGCTCCTAGCTAAGTCTCCTTATCACCAGCTCTGTGGCTTCCGAGCTGAGGCTCGCGAGTTTGTATTTCTGACAAAAAACGCGCTTTGAGCTTGGTTGCTGTTCACCCCTCTGCAAAAAGTTTTTGACTTTGTGGGTTTAGTGCAAACCCCTTGACTTCCCAAAAGTTAAAGTCTAAAGATCCAACCCAAAGTCAAGTGAGGAAGGCTATACATGGTTTTCCACAGAGAGTCTTAAACGAGTCCTGAGATGGCGATACGCCTCCAGTCTTAGGCATCGCCTGGATGTGCCGTCGCCTCGGCGGCGGAGAAAATTTCGCTTGAGCGGTCAGAACTTCGATGTGTTTTCAGAGGTGTCCTTTTAGGGGAAATAGATGGCCCTGGTAGATGATTAAGCCACCAGGTAAACCAGGGCCATCTATTTTCCGAGCAAAACAACCAAAAAAGACACCTATGTGGTTTTTTGTTGTTTCCTCCCCCACTGAAAGTGAGTCAACATGAGAAAGGGGTCTCCAAATCAGCCAGCCTCAATCGCAAGGGTTGCTCCAGCGGTTGATTCCTTGTCCATTATTTTCAATCATCGTTCTTTTCAAAACCGGATCTGTTTCCCTGGGTTTTTGATGGTTTCCTGAAAAGAAGGATCCCTGGAAAGAATGGGGAAGGTAGCCCTAGATTTGCAGTTTCTTTGCTCTTGAACCACTTTCAACAGCCATTCCTCATTTCAGTCCAAACGTACTCTGAGGGCCAAGCACGAAGGCTTGCGAGCAATCGCTGACAGCCGCCGGTTTCAACTTGAGGCTCGGCACCTGAGACGCGAATCGCGCTTGGGGCGGCGAATGAGTAAACCATGTGAACCTAAGCTCGGTTGACTTTCCCACAAGAAAACCATTGGGTTTACCGAGGGCGTCCCAATCATGGAAGTAGATAGGCAGGTTCTAGAAAAGGAAAGCTTTTGTTCTCCTTGTCAGCTTCATTCACAGCAAGGAGAGTCTATACCTGTGTTTTCTAAGGCCACCATGTTTTGGGTCAAGGCAAACCCAAAAGGAAATCGCCCATTTCAGAAATTCCCCGATTTTGAAGAGACACACTTACTTGAAGACAACTAATTATTTTTGGACATGGCTGTGGGTCAAAAAAGGTACTTAAAATGGAACCCTGGTAAATGGAAACATGGACTACAGCCTGCGGTCCATATTCTGGTGGTTTCATTTTGACCCATACCCATCGCGCTTGGCTCTGAGGGTTTTTGTATTGCACCCTGGGATCACACCCTTGGGAAATGACCCAACACTTGCTTCACAAAAAAAAATCACGGCGCGATCCCGGACATGTGAAACCCTACATGGGGTCACTACCCTGTGGTCCGATTTTGAGACCACGCGCACCTGTGCTAAACAAAAAACACGCGGCTCACTTCAAGGCCCCGGCAAGGCAACACCAGCACGAGGACCTGGAAGCTCTCGCAAGGCACGGCTGAATGTTTTTTTCTTAAAAAAATAAGCTCAGGTGACATCCCCAACATGCGGTGCTCTTTTTAGTGCTCGCACCACCCCGCAGCCCTCGGTGGAACCCTCGTGGAACCCTCGTGGAACCTTACCTCGGGCCACCCCGGACCACCCCGGAGCCTATCTGGGCTGAGACCCCAAAGCTTTCAGCTGTTGGGGGGAAAAAAATAAACCGCGGGCGTGGTTTTGAGAAGTGCTGATGGAACACATGCCCTTCTTTTAAATCTAAAACACCGCAGCCGGGTTGTGGTTTGAAGGTTGGGGGGTCACTTGCGACAGAACAGAATCGCGTGCAACCGCTGTTCTGGGGGTAGCTTCCCCGTTCTTTCCAGGGATCCTTCTTTCTAGAAAACCACCAATAATTTTGCGGAAACGGATCCGGTTTTTGAAAAGAACGATGGGCTCAAAAGAAAAGAATGGGGAATCAACCCCTAGAACGCTTTCTAAACACATGCCTGAGGCCCGGGCACTGCCGAAGGCGCTCCAGCTGTTCTCCGATCGAAGCCAGGCCCGGAGCCTGTGAAAACACACAAATCTCGCCAAACTTGGCGAAACACATCGACTTGGGTATGCTGAAATTGAAGAGCTGGGGCCAACCGCGGGTTTTAGTCTTTGGTTTCCATTTACCAACATGCCATTTTGGTACCACCTTTTTTGAGCCACCGCCATTTCTCCCTCGTTGGCTTCCTTCTTGGCAATCGAAGACACCGCATGCATATGCTATATTTTTGCCAAAACCAATGCTCAGCTGCCCATCTATGAACCCCAATGAAACGCGTTGGTTGATGGATGTCATTTCAAGAGAGACTATGTAAGCCAGGTATAAATGTACATGACTAGCTAAACATATATATATATATATAATGGTACCCCCCCCATGGACCATCCCAAAAGACAGTAAAACCAGGGTCCATGGGGGGGTTGCATATATATTATATATATATAATGCAGAGAGAGAGGGGCTTATAGCTTAAAAGGCCTTTGACCTATTAAGTTGGGGGAGGGAGGCATGGCCAGCGACCAAACGGCCTGAGAGCTACTGCATCGCCAGCTGCCATGCCAGTCAGGTAAACCTTGGCCGGATGGAACCCCCCAACCTTGGTTGCTGCAACGACCCCTCTGCAACACAAGTTTTCAACTTCTCGGTTGCTTTCTGCTCCCCTGCTAAAAGTTTAACTTTTAGTGGTTTGGTGGAAAACCCATTAGTTGGCCAAAAGTTAAAGTCCTAACAGTCAAGCAAAATGCACCAAAGACTTGTTGTGGGTTTCGTGGAAGCCCCCTTGATTTCAACCGAAAAGTTGAAGTCTAAAGATCCGTTGCCCAATAGTCCAGTTCAACGCGCCGTGGGATCCCAGGAGTCAAGTTGACTTTGTATCGCAGCCTATAGGTTGAATCCGGATCAGCGGATCGTCCGAGCAGCTCTAGCCGGCGTCTGGGCATTGCCCACGTGTGCTGCAAACCTCTGCACCTTGGAAGCAGGGTTGTGGTTGATCACTCGGGGTTTCTCCAACCACTTCTGTGATGCCTTCGGGAATCCCCTCTTTAAATGGCGGGATGGTCTTTGGGGGACCTTTTTCTTGTAGCACAGAAGTGGATTCCATTTCCCACAGCCCTGCTTGGAGGCAATACTCGAAGGGAACCCCCAAACCAACTTTGGGGGAAGATGAGTATGCAAGCACAACCTACATGTAATCATAGTGTATACGCCCAGCTTTTCAATGTCAGTGCTGTGTTAGAAGCCCTCTTACAAACACACCAAGAACTCTACTTACACTGCCGACATCACTTGCCTTCCCCATGCTAGCTTGCCCATTTGGGCATCAACTTGGATTGGACATGAATCCTTTGTGTGGGAAGCACATGGAATTTGTGTCCACCTGTCCACCAACCACTCGAAGAGGTGTTCCCTATCACAGTCTTTTGGGTTTGCAATAAGCTCAGGCGATTTCCCCAGGAGCACGCCTGGAGCCCTTGAACCCTTGGAAGTTGGGGCCACCCAAAGCTTTCAGCTTCTGTAATAGACAAGCCCACCTATGCCACCTATATAAATATGAGCTTCTCATTCGATATGCATGCCTCTCGGTCACGGAGAAGCGTTCCTGGAGTCTGGGCTGCCGGCACATCTTTCCGCTCTCGCAAAGAGCGTGGAGGGACCAGTGGCATACAGCACCTGTGTTTGGACGTCTTTAAACTCAACGGCCAGACCCAAAATACAAACGTTAGTCACTTTGGCATTGGCCTGGACTACACAAACTTGGTTGATGTTGGAAGGGAAGCAAACATTCAAAATTCTAGCAGTTAAGTGGGGATTTCCCACTAAACCACAATAAGCATGCAAGGGACAACTGAAAGCCAAAAGCTCGGTCAAAAGCTCGGCCAAGCGGCCAAGCAAACAACGGCATGTCAGGCACCGCTTGAAATCACCAGAGCCAGACACAAATAATAATAATAATAATAATGGGCATCCAAAACCGCAGGAATGGCTGTGACACGCCTTCCATGCTACATGCATGTGCCTGTTGAGGCAGGTCAAGCCAACAACTTCCACGATGGTGTCAAGCAAGACTTTGGATATTCCTGCCCCGTAACTCGGGCAAGGCATCTCGTGAGAAGTTGCAAACACATAGAATGTGGAACTTCTTTCAAGGATTGGTGGGCATAAAATTGCATGCAGGTAGCAAGAAAGGCATGATTTGACAGCTGCTTGTAGCAAAGCGCACAGCTTGCCTTGATACCAGAGCTTTGGAGAGTGTGCCACTGCCGCAGCTCGTGCATTGCCTTGGTTATGCATTCTTGCAGCAGCAATAATTGTGGGAAATCACCATTGTGATCAAATACTCCCAGCCCGAACAAAATATGCGGTACCCAACTGCGATTCATTCATCCCGCCCGCGTTTGAAATAGCATGCTTTTCTGGCCATGGTTTCAATAGTATGTCTTTCTGTCTTCAGTATGCTTGTTCAAGAACTACCTGATTCCTGATAGTATGTTTTAAATCGACCTGGGCTTCCTTTAAACAAAAACAAGCGAACAAAAAAGAGAGAACCAAACAAAAAGAAACAGTCGGCGAAAAACCCAAGTCGAGGGCCAACTCCGGGCGAGGGCCCGGCCAGACCCACCTCTGCCTGGCCCAAAGGTACGCACTGGAGCTCCAAACCTGGCGACAAGCGCGTGACGCAGTGAAGCGGTGAAGCGCGAAGGATCTGCCATTCTAGGGGTACCTTCCCCATTCTTTCCAGGGATCCTTCTTAGGGTACAGGAAGACCCAAGGAAACCCACCAGTTTGGGTTTCCCCGCATGTTGATAAACACAAACACACACATACACACATACACACACACACACACACATGGCCGTGGGTCAAAGGGGATCCATTTTGGTTGGTAGGTGAATTCACCACCCACTTTAGGCTTCCTATTTTAGTGGTTGGATTGAATCGGATGTTCACTGGGGGTACGATTTGGATTTTGACCCATTCTTCCCCATTCTTAACCCAGGGATCCGGATCTTTCTAGAAAACCTCCAGAAACCCACGGAAAACGGATCCGGTTTTTGGAAAGAACGATGGTTGAAAAGAATGGACAAGGAATCAACCCCTAGAGCCATCCGGTTAAGGTGTGAGATTGAAGAGTGGAAGCTATGGCATCCAGTCAAAGGCTTCAAACTCTGCTTGGGGTTCCTCCAAGAAAGGGGAGCCCCATGAGAGTTTTTTCTAGGCAGATCTCTTTGGTGGATGGCGGGTCACCGCCACAATCCGAATTTGACTTCTCCAGCTAAGAAACTAATACAAGCATAAGGGTTTACATGAATCCTGATTAAACTGGGGACTGGCTGTTTGGTTGCTGCTTCCTTGGTTGGGGGTTGCACTCTTTGTGCCCTCGAACTCCGCCGGAACACCAGGCGGTGGATTTCAAGTACGGGGGACACTTTGGTGGACATCTCTCACGTTGGGGATTTATACCTGCCTACAAATATGGAAGTGATTTCTCAAATATCATACAGCGACTTGAGGCCATGGGTCAAATCCCGTCCCAATTCCCACTAAAAACGACTAAAATGGGTGGTGCACCTACCCCCAAAATGGGATCCCATTGGTTTTGACCCACAGCCTTAAAGAACTGCCTTCAGGCAACTTGTTTGGAAGCAGCTCAGTGCCACTACGTAGAACCACTTGGATGGCTAACAAGCAAGGTGACTTGAGTTTGTTCGTTTCCGGGGTTCTGCCTTGTTCAAAGAAAGGGTCCATGCCAAAGCAAGACATTTCATGCCGCCAAATGAGCCATAATTGATTCCTGGCCTCAGTGGAATCTAGTCTCCACCCCAAGCCATGCTACAAACCACAACGGCGGCCGCACCTGTTTCTGGTTGGGACTCTTCCCGAATACACTTCACTTTCGGGGCCTCATTATCCCTGGACACGCCTGTCACGCTCAAGCCCTGTGCCACCAACGACTTTCGGAATGTGGCTGGACCCTCGAATGAACCTAAATTTATTTGGCGCGTTGATGAAAGCACCTACAACACCTTTCTCCGGCCTTCGAAGGGGAAAAACACATATTGGTCCTTCAAACATGCCAACAAACCCTGTCACAAAGTATGAAACATAACACCTGAATTAGGAGCCGGAAGGGCAATCATTCCGTGCCCGGGATAGGTGGAATAAGCAGAACAAGTTACGTGTGCAGCGACTGGCCGGCAGGACGGCCCACCGCGATGTGGCGTGGCAGATCGCTCGCACCCCAACCTGCAAGATGTTGGTAACAGGGGATGCTGCATTGGACCTCGTTTCGAAGGAACATGTAGGTCAGCATAGCATGCAGGGCGGCATCCAACATTGGGACTCCTTGTTTGAAAACCCACATGCTCTTAAAATGAGTGATATATTTCCCACAAAACAAGGCGACTTGCTCTCTATCTCTCTATCTCTCTCTCTCTCTCTATTTCTTTCTTTCTTTCTTTCCTTCCTTCCTTCCCTTTCTTTCTTTCCTTCTTTCTGGTTTTCTTTCTCCCTCTCTCTCTGTCTGCTCTTACCGCATCTTTGCCAGCAGGGATCATGTGTTGCTGTCTGCAACTTGCTGGCAAGAACCATCATGAAACTGCCGCCGTCAGTTTGCGTCGCGCAAGTCAGCCTAGGTGAAAAGCAGGTTGGCCATCAAGTCCTTCGACACACGACGCAAGACCTGCCACCGGCAAGCTCAGATTTGCTGGCATGCCTCAAATGAACAGCAAAAGACGGCTCAGGCACGCAATGCCTCAAAGCCTATTGCGAAGCTAAATGTGGCCGGCAGACAAAGGTCCGGCCACTCGTGCTTCCCCATCCTGCGCGTGACTTTCACCTGAGCGAGATTCCGGTGTCACATTTGTTGCTCGTGGCTCTCGTGGGAGCCGGGCGGGGGATCTTCGAGAAAGAAGCGACTTCTCGAATTGCTCCTGCGGTCCATGGAGCAGTTGGCATGGTGATGCCTCCGTCCAAGATCTTGCCAATCAAACACAAACACCACTCCACTATGATTTCAATATGAAGGATGACTGAACATTAAAAAAGGGATATGGTGATGCCAATGGTGATATGGTGATGCCTTCCTTACCCTCGTTGCAACATACAGGGTAGCGAAGCAATCCTCAAGACAACGCCACTTCGTGCAGCTCCTTGAAGACTTTACGCCCGCCACGTTGATTGCTACGTGCCTCAAGGCCGGTTTTCGTGTCGAGTTCACGCTGGTTCTCGCATCTCAGCTTCCGACCATTCTGACCCTCACGGACAATGGTGCCTGTACGAAAGCAACATGAAAATGGGTGGTGTGTGTGCGTCTAGGTGTTTGAGGCTACGATTTTCACCTTGGCTTACCAAAAGGAGCAAACCACCATGGTCCGATTTCCCCAAAAAATCGACACATACCCATATTGAGAGCATCACTTCCAACTTGCGCCTCAGTCTCGGAGATTGCTCCGGTATTGACATCGGCCTGTCAAGGCCGCCCCTCTCCGATGCTACAAGTGGCCCAGGCGGCGTTTTAGAAAAATCGAGGGCACTGGTGAATGAATGGAACAAACATTCAACCAGTGCCCGCTGTTTTCAACCAACCTGACCAGGTGAAATAGCTGTACCGCCGGTTATCCAGCACAAATCACCCAATACCCGGTCACAAAGGTCACATGAGTGGCCCCTCAAAAAAAAAAAACAGAGACAACACAGACCCAATACCACTTTTCGCCTCGCAGTTCGGCCATAGCCCCGTCTGACCCTGTAGGCCTTCTTGCCCCAGGGATCTTCAGGCTTCCCTGGCAAAAAGCTGACGGGCCTGCCACCCTTGAAGACCGAACTTTAACTGTGAAGCTTGACAAGCAGAAAGCAACTGGCCGGGCTCGGTTCAAAGAAAAAGGGGTAGAGCACAGGGACGAGGACATATGTGACACGGAACTAAAGAGCCCTTGTCAACCCTTCGCAAGCACTGAGCAGCATGTGTGTATATATGTGTGTTTTGTCCAACTCGAGCCGCCCTTGACCCGCCTTGCTTTCCACCAGCCTTCAGGTGAAAGCAGGGCTGTGGGGAATGAGAACTTCTGTGATACAACAAAGGGCTTCCCAAAGACTATTTTGTTCATATAAAGGGAGATTCCCTTGTATCACAGAACTGGGGAGAAACCCCGAGTGATCCCACAACTCTGGCCAAGATAGTAAGTGGTTGGCAACCTGGGTAATTAACCTACTTGCAACCGTCCCAACTCGCTCATAGGTAAGTTGTACCCCAGGTGGCTAACCACTTGCCAACTTGGCCGAACATCCAAGTATGGGTTGATTGCCCTGCCCAGAGGCTCCCGATTGATTTGGTGCCTTCAAACAACCTGGTTTTTGTCTTCCATTGAAAGCCGAAGCCAGGAGCCTCTCGGTGGGTGAAACGAACCGCATTTCCCAGCGCGCGGCAAGCAGTTTGAGGAGCCGACTCGAGTGCGAGGGCTGCCCGTCGGCCTGGCATACGGGAGTGGGGACATGGGGGGATTCCCTTGGTGCCATTTCCCATACTGATGGACGAAATCCATTTCGCACCACCTAAGAAACCCCGGAATGATGAATCCCCTTTAAATATCAATAAACAGTAGTTTCCCAGTAAACAGTGGTTTCCCATGGCTTTCAAGTGGTGCAGGATTTCGTCCATCCACAGTATCAAACTTAGTCAATGTGCATCAAACACGGGAATCCTCCCGTATCCCTGGTTCCCCTGTATCCCTGCTAGTTGGTTTCCGTGACGCATTTCTCACTTTCCAGACTTTGAACTAAGGCTGCGGCAGCAACGTTGGCCGGCCTCGCATGCGAGATCATCGTATTGCTAGATGTGCCGGATTGACAAAATCAATCGTCCAGGAAGAGGCTTCCATGCGCAACGCACTGTAAAGAAACTCATTGGCTGGCTCTTGCAAAAGATTGGAGCATCCCCCTGGTGGGTGGTCAGCATATTGCGAAGCACAGTGGAGCGGCCGTCCCATACTGGTCCAGGGCCGCAAGATTCGGGGAGCCATGAAAAGATAACGAGTCATGAGCCTCGGTCCATCTTCGCCCCGAATGATTGGAATGGCCACGAATCGCTCTTCGGCGCAATGGCTCCTGTGGCTCCTCTTGTGAACATGAGTGAGTGCCCTCGCTCCGACTAACATGGCACCTGACAGAGGGTCCCTACAAAAGGAAATTATCTTCCAGGTACCCGCCCACAGGTGCTATGTTAGTGGGAAGGAGGGTACCCTGGTGAAAGAAAACTCCAACACAGTCAAGAGGACATGGTATCGAAGTGTCGTTCCACATGCAGAACAGTCGCTGCACATGGCTGTGAAGCTTCGAGCCTCTCACGGGGTCTGAATCATTGGAACGGGGTGTGGGCTATATGCTGCTATGGGCTGCCATTGAGCCAAATTACCTCATGATCATGGCATCTTGGTGTCAAGAACATTTCCTCTTCACATGACTTCTGTTGGTTTGTAAGCGCAAACCGAAGCTCCATTCTATTGATTTAGGCCCTTGAATCTGTGTTCAAATCTAGGATGTACACATGAATGTCCTTGGGTGCAAGCCCTCCAAAGCCAGTTGAGTCGCAATCAACACCTGGTACTAAAATGGTCGTAATCCCAGAACCATGTACAGGATTAAGAAGGCGGATTTCAGCTAGTTTTTGGCAAGGGGATCGTCCCTTACTAACCTTCATCAGGGATCCTTACATTATACACGTGAACATTGCAGCTTGTAAATGCTGGTATTAAAAAGCCACATGTTTCAAATGGTTGCAAAATGGAGATCTGTTAAGAAGCCCTGTTCACCAATCCTCGGGTTTCGGTTTCGAGCACGTGGCTCAGTTCATTAGGCGTCAAAAACGAACCTCGCCTGGCGGCTCAAGCTCGGGCAGCTCCGGCTCCTTTGGGCGTCTCACACTGAGCAGTTTGAAGCGGACACGGGCGTGGCAAATGAAGGTGTTCCTGTTGGTTTCCCTTTAAACCCACCTAAAAACTTGATTGCTGCAACGACCCCCGTGCAAAAAGTTTTTCACTTTTGGGGGGTTTAGTGGAAAACACGTTTATTTCCCAAAAAGTTAAAGTCTAAAGATCCAACCCAATAGCAGTCAAGAAAAGGACACCCAAAAAGCACGAACCGTCACATACTTCGCAAAATGGAGGGGGTTCGCGAAAAGGGTCGGTTTCTATGGTTTTCCTTGCAAAGCAGCCCCAACAGGGGAACCCGCAGCAACCTAACTCTTTTCAACGTACCGCCGATTTGCTTTTGGGTCAAGGAATCTCGTGATTGGGCGACCCCTGCTTTGGGGGCTTTGGGGCTTTGAATCTGCAATTATGAACAAACACATTTCCCAACATAGGACCCGTGGGAGGGTTCCTGGAACGTGTCAGGTGCTCCCCCTTTAGGTGATCGACCTTAAAAGGTTGTGTGATTTCTCGTCGCGGTTTTCGGTGGCTTTCGCTGACGGGTCCTGAGGTGTTCAAATGACATCCGCAACAGGGGGAAACGGGGCATCCACTCTTTGTAACAATACATTGTCTAGTGGCCAATATTGGCTATATAGTCCCAGACCCCCCATCGCCATGACACCAAAAGGGCCCTCCTTTTTGAGTAGTTGATTTAATGGATGACACCCCTCCAAACAAAAAACAATCAAGGACACCACCGGTGGTCTGGGTGGTCGCCCCATTCTTGGGGTTGGATTGAGGATGGTTTCAGAGAGTTCGCGCCCGTCCTGGAAGTGAAGGAAGCTCGCAGCCGTCCCGCGCCTGGAATCCCGAAACGCCGATTGTCGAAACCTCGACCTGAGTTTGGTGCGTCGCAATAGTTTAGAAGGGGTTTCTCAAAATAGGGAGCCAATATAGGGACTTTTAAAAGTTTAATAGGGAACCCTTTTTGCGGATTCGGAAGGGAAACAAAAGGACACCCCGGCGTCCAAAAGCATTGTGAGAAACACCTATTTGGGCTTTACCAGAATGGGAACAGGCATTGAGGTCTGGTCGTGGGCATACGCGGCAAGCTTACCACCAAACGCCGATGAGACATGGACTACCCAAAACAGCAGGACCCTGCAAAATCGATAGGAAATACCCGACCCAAACCCGCTATCCCCGAAATATTGTCCGTCGCTAATTCGAAGGGGTTTCAAGGATTGTAGCGATCCAACAGCCCGGTGATTTTCTTTTGCAGGTGTCCACCAGGGAAGTCGACATGATCTATTCAGGGACAGCTATCCAAACTCTCGTAGTGGTCCAGGTTGCGAAACAAAACTGCGAAGGTTGAGCCAAGATGGGAACATATTGGGGCTCGGGCCTGCTGCGTGTTGTGGGAAATGTGTTCCGGTCCTCCCCAAAGTACAAAAAACGAACAGTTGCTCACATGATGTTTCTTGCTATGAATAAGCACAGGACCATCTCTACTCCCAGGCATCGCCAAAGAACCCAGCAACGGGAAATTATGTCTACAGGATCTTGGCCAAGCCCTGAACACGTTAAACGCCCGTGCCCTGCAACATGTCGCCCAAGTATCTGCGTCCAACCCGCACGGCAACGCCTAGGCCTCGCGTCTTGGTCCTGCAAAGCGACCCAAGTCGCCAGTGGCATTGGGGCTCCGGGGCCCTGGGTCTCCCACCTGACCTGGTCTTCAGCGCCCCCTCAATAGTTGTGGACTCCTGTTGGCTAAACGAATTGACCCGTTCTCCTGAAATCGGTACAAAGGTTTTCATGTGCGCCCAAAGAGGACCCCCTCAGAGCCATTCTTCTGCCTGGGGTTCCTAATCATGGAAGGTGCTTCAGAGCATTTGCTGGTCGATGTGCCAGGCCAGAACAGGGCCAGGCAAAGGGCACCAGTGCAACACGTGAGGCGGTCCTGCGATCTGTGCAGTTCTACAGCAGCTGACTCCAGTCTGTGCGGAAGTTCGATCCTGGTCACTTGGCGACGCTTTTCATGCAAGAAAACTACCATGCGGGTTTGTCTCCAAAAGAACAACAAGACACCTCCCCCCAACAATAAACAACTCAACATATTGTTCCTTGGTTCACTTGGAAGCAAATGCAAAGCGTACTTGAAACAAAAGCCTAACCCAGAACCATCAGCGCCAAATGCGGCTGGCAAATGCTCGAGGCCCACGCATGGCTTTGGCAGGAGACGGAGATCGAGACTGAGCGTCGGCCTTCCTCACAAGGCGACAGCAATCATACGCGCGCTGCCACTGGTGGCAAATCCAGAATTCGAGAAAGGAGGATTTGCCTTTGCCGCTTCAAGTCAGATCTGCCATGAACGTGGTTGCTTGTGGCCACGAACCACTGACTTTGACAAGCGAGCAAAGTGAGTAAGACTCAGTAAGACTTCGTGGTCACTGAGTCTGGTCTAGTTGGAGGACTCTTTTCAAAGTGCGTAGCTCAAACAAAGCACCATACAGGTTTATCCCACAAAAAATGTGATTGTCCCTCGGTTCCCTCTAAACCAAATGCCCTGTAACAAAAAACAAATGACCGGTAACAATCAGCGCTTGAGGCTCGCGCATGGCCGCGGACGGAGATCGAGATTGAGCGATGGCCGTCCTCAGAAAAAGGAAAAGCGATGATAGGATACGTGCTGCCAGTGGGTGCAAAGCCAGAAAGGTTCTCTCCGCCTGAAAGGATGGAGACCAAACTGAAGACTGTTGCCAAGCCTCCCAGAGCTACAAACACTGTGGTGATGTCTTCATGTCTATCCATGGATGCAGGGCAAAAGCATCACGAGATCAGTTCGATCCTTTTCAGATAGCGGACGCTTTTCATTTGAGATCTCACATCTAGAAACAAAGTGTCACAGCTTCAGCAAAGCACCTCACCGAGCCAGCTTTACACAGGCAAATTGGGGCAACCCCAAAACATGTTTTACCCTTCATCAAAAACACAAACCTGGAGTCTCCATGACTCTTAAAAAAAGGGGTCATTACCCAGAAGTAAGGGGTCATTACCCAGAATTAAGGGGTCATGGACCCATGTTTAAAGGGTTTTGGAGACTCTAGGAACACGCACCAATCAGCACCGGGGCATGCCAAGGCCGGCGCTTGGCTTTAGGAGACGGAGATCGAGACGCATCTACCTTCCTCAGAATGGCAGCAGCGATGATGCTGTGGATGGTTGCAAAATCCATTTCGCACCACCTAAGAACGCCTGGATTGATGATTCTCTTGTAAATACCAAGCAAACAATGGTTTCTCATGGTTTCTTAGGTGGTGTAGGATTTCGTCCATCCACAGTAGGATACTCGCTCCCGGCACCAGCGGAGCTGAATTCGTCAACGGATCACTGAAAAGACTGGGCCAAGAACAGCTGGAAACGAACAACCTCTTTTTTGTTTTTCCCCGCAAACCACCTCGCTGTTGTTGTGCACTTCTTTCTGGTTCCCCGTTTTGAAACAGACCCATGCCCCGTTGTGCCGGTCTGACATGTGCTTGCGAGCCACTCCTCTCCTGTGCTCTTTGGAGATCGGCAACCTGCGGAAGCGAGGGAAATTGGCCGCAAGGCCAGGCACATGTACAAAGGTTCTCAGTTGGCTTGGTTGCTGTTGACCCCTCTGCAAAAAGTGTTTAACTTTCGTGTGGGTTTGGTGGAACCCCCCTTGATTTCCCAAAAAGTTAAAGTCTAAAGATCCGACCCAATAGCAGTCAAGTTGGGTAGAAAGCTTCACTAGGGACCCTTGGATTCACATCATGTCCATGGGGGATTTGTGTCCACCAACCATTTCTCAGGAGGTTCCATTCATCATAGCCGGTTCTCTACCCCGAACTGGATGCAACCCAAGGCATAACCTATGGCTCCATTTTGGGGTGGATGGACATCCATTTGTTACTTACTTTGACGTTCACCAGAGATACAGGGTTTTGACCCACAGCCACTTCAGCAGCAGCACGTCGCAGTTGGCTTCCCAACACATGACTCCCGCCACGCTCGGCTTGTGCCTCTGGGCATTGGAGTCGGCACGGCAAGCTCTGGCGAGTCTGCCGCGTCCTGGGTGCTGGGGATGCCGCACATGCAGACTCCCTGCAAATTAACATGGGTGCGGTTTAAAATAGGGGAGCCATAAAAGAAGAAGAAGAAGAAGAAGAAGAAGTGATAGGCACTGGGGAGCTCCTGGTGGTTTAACATGTTGTGTTTAGCATGGGCGGTTGTTCATTTGGTCCTCCTTTGCCCTTAGCACCCAAACGCCCACAAAGGGGGTGTCCCAAAACGAGATTCCTGGTTTTCTGGTTCCATGTTCATCTGGGAAGCAGAAGGGGCAAAATGACACACGCACACACACACACACTAATGATCATGATTTAATTTTGTTTGCAAGTGCCCCTCACACCCAATTCAAATTGTTTACGCGCTTATCATGCCAGGTCATACCGTCCAAACAGCCTTCCTAAAATGCAGGATCCCCAAAAGGTGGCAAATGGACGGAAGGGACCCCCCATTTCGGACAAGGACCCTTATCTTGTGTTCCATGTCAACAGGAAAGTCGTGCCCTTTCGGTCTCCCTTTAAGAACCATTTCAAATGCGGGTGAAGCTCATACACCCTCAGGGAGCTTCCGGTGGCTTCAAAGTAACATTTGCACCCCAACGTGGCAACGTCCCTTTTACCTCCAAGGTGGTCCTGAAAATGGCATCACCCCCCACTTCAGGACAACTCCCTATCGCACTTGCCATGATATTTGGGTCATGGTCGCGGTTCCCTGAGTGGGAACCACTACAATGATTGCATAAATGTCCCACCAAGGTTTTCATCACCGTCCCTAGCGGTAGCCTAAGTAAGTACATGTTCGACCATGGCATATCCGGGCCCTAGCTTGCTCTCCGGGTGGTCCTGGAGCGCGTCGCTCGCATCCAAGGCATCTTGGAGCATTTGCTGTTGTGCCCTCTGCTCCTGAGCATGAATACTCGCCTGCCTTTTGGCTTCCCGATTTTACCAGGTTGCAAACCCCTTTATGAGTCAATTGAGGCGGCCATGTACCAAAACACCTTTGCAGTGCCCAACGCCCATTGACTTTTGGCTCTCCCGAATGGTCATAGAACCTACGGCCAGCTTGGGGCTTTGCATGTGGAATCTCACAATGCGGACGATCTCTTTCTCTCAGCCCTTTTGCGACCCCCTTTAAAAGGAAACTAAAGGGGAAACGGGTCAAAAGTCGGGACCTGCTCATTTTGGGGTGAGGGATCAAAAAAAACTTTTTTGGCATCAAACAATAACTTATTTCTAAAGATCAAAAAAACTTATTAGGCATCAAAAAAAAACTTATGCTCATTGATTTACTATTAAAATGAAAAATCAGAGGATCAACAAAAAACTTTATAGGCATCAAAAAAAACTTATTCATTTCAGGAAGCACTTTCGCAAGGTCAGGTACAGATTTCGTGGCACGCGCGGCACTTTCGCAAGGTAGGCGCAATGCTTTCGCAGGTCAGGTACAGATTTCGCGGCAGGCGCAGCGCTTTCGCAAGGTGCGGTCGCGGCAGGCGCAGCACTTTCGCAAGGTCAGGTACAGATTTCGTGGCAGGCGCAATACTTTCGGAAGGTCAGCCAGATTTCGCAGCAGGCGCAGCACTTTTGCAAGGTCAGGGACAGATTCGCGGCAGATGCAGGACTTTCGCAAGAGGTGCCAATTTCGCAGCAGGCGCAGCACTTTCGCAAGGTACGGTGCAGAGTTTGACGCAGGCGCAGCATTAAATCGGGGGGGTTGGGGGGGGCGGCAGCCCCGCAGGGGCAGCGCTTTTGCAAGAGGTACCAATTTCGCGGCAGGCGCAGCACTTTCGCAGTACGGTGCAGAGTTTGACGCAGGCGCAGCATTAAATCAGCGGGGGGGTTGGGGGGGGCGGCAGCATCAGCGGGGGGGTTGGGGGGGGCGGCAGCACCCCCCCATGATGCTCGAAGAAGTGATGATTCAGCAAAGGGTGCGTTAATCACTGTCAACCTTCTACAAATCAGCGGGGTGGGTGAGGAAAGTCAGGTACAGATTTCGCAGCAGGCGCAGCACTTTAGCAAGGTCAGGTACAGATTCGGCGGTCCGCAGGGGCAGCACTTTCGAAAGAGGTACTAATTTCGTGGCAGGCGCAGCACTTTCGCAATACGGTGCAGAGTTTGACGCAGGCGCAGCATTAAATCAGCGGGGGGGTTGGGGGGGGCGGCAGCCCCCCCCATGATGTTCGAGGAAGTGAAGATTCAACAAGGGGTGCGCTAAGCTCTGTAAGCATTCTACAAATCCCCATGATGCTCGAAGAAGTGATGATTCGCACCCTTTGCTGTAGTCTCTGTAAACATTCTGAAAATCAGCGGGGGGGTTGGCAGCCCCCCCCATGATGCTCGATGAAGTGATGATTCAGCAAAGGGTGCGTTAATCACTGTCAACCTTCTACAAATCAGCGGGGTGGGTGAGGAAGGTCAGGTACAGATTCGCGGCAGGTGCAATACTTTCGCAAGGTGCGGTCCAGATTTCGCGGCAGGCGCAGCACTTTCGCAAGAGGTACCAATTTCGCGGCAGGCAGCACTTGCACTTTCGCAATACGGTGCAGCAGGCGCAGCATTAAATCAGCGGGGGGTTGGGGGGGCTGCCGCCCCCCCCATGATGTTCGAGGAAGTGAAGATTCAACAAGGGGTGCGCTAAGCTCTGTAAGCATTCTACAAATCAGCAGGGGGGTTGGGGGGGGCGGCAGCCCCCCCCATGATGTTCGAAGAAGTGATGATTCAACAAAGGGTGGTGATGATCGAAGAAGTGATGATTCAGCAAAGGGTGCGGTAATCTCTGCAAACATTCTGAAAATCAGCGGGGGGGTTGGGGGGGGGCAGCCCCCCCATGATGCTCGAAGAAGTGATGATTCAGCAAAGGGTGCGTTAATCACTGTCAACCTTCTACAAATCAGCGGGGTGGTTGGGGGGGGGTCCTTCCTTCCTTCCTTCCTTCCTTCCTTCCTTCCTTCCTTCCTTCCTTCCTTCCTTCCTTCCTTCCTTCCTTCCTTCCTTCCTTCCTTCCTTCCTTCCTTCCTTCCCCCCATAGGAATGAGCATAAGTTTTTTTTTGATGCCTAATAAGTTTTTTTGATGCCTAATAAGTTTTTTGTTGATGCCTAATAAGTTTTTTTTGATGCCTATCCCCTCATTTTGATCAGGGTAGCTCTGTAAAATCAAGTCGAAATGGGTTAAAATGGGAATGCACCCATGAGCTCCACTGGGTGGTGAATTCACCTACCAGCCAAAATGGGATCCCATTATTTTTGACCCACAGCCAAGTCAGAGCGCCGCCCAGGGCATTTCAGCCGGGCCATTCAACATGCAACAAACAACACAGTTGCTCAAACCCGTGGCATGCCAAGGCGGGTAGCAAGCGAAGCGTATGGCACAAATCTGAATCACTCGCTGGAACTTGTCCTCGTCTTTGAAGACATAGTCTGAATGCAAATGCTCTTTCAGTCGTCTCTTGCCTGGCAGACTGTCAGAATAAACCATTGTGCCACGGTCAAAACTCCTGTCAACCATGCTCATGTTGCCCCTAAACTCCCATTTCCTTAAGTGACCTGGAAAAAAAGAAACTATTTCCACTAGTGATAGATTCCCTTCAAAATCAACAGGTGGACAAAACAAATACTCATTTCATGGAGGTAAAACCTGTAAAATCCTTCCTGAGTCACACCCAAAGTACTTGGCTGCATCGCCATCAGGCCTGGTGGGGATGCAGAGCCCAAGAGGGTGCTCCTGCCGGACCAGAAACCTGCACCTGTCCTTTGAGGCAGTTTCTTTAGTCAGGAAGGCAACACTCAGAGCCTGCCAAACCGGGTACAGAATCTTGCAGGCCATTCTGTGAAACCATTTTTGCGGAAAGACATACAGGCCATTCTTTGGGCAGTTTTCAGCTTGGCTTCTTCGGAACGCCGAAACGAAAAAACCCCTCACTTGTGAGGTCCCCAGTTTTTTTGCAAGGTGGCTTGCTTCCCCAAGGCATTTTGGGGGCCTCGAGGTGGGATTGGTTGGGGGGTTGGGTCATCAAAACTCTTCATGGGCTGCATCTTGCAGCCTGACTGTGGATCTTTGCGGGCTTACTTTGATCGTGGCCTGTGGTGGCTCCCGACTCACCAACTCCCGAGCCGGCCGACAATGTAACGAAGATCAAGAGGTGACAGAGATTCAGCCGATCTTCGAACCATTGAAATGCAGGTGAGGTCTCTCAAACCCGCCCCCGTACGGGCTTACTGGGAATGGTCCGCTCAAAGTTCGACCGTCCACGTTGGGGTTTCGACAGACCTCAAGTTTCTAAGTTTGAGTTCTTCCATTTGCTTAAGACCCCTGGAAAAAAAAAACTACCAGTAGTGATAAATTCCTTTTGAAACCAACAAGGGAAAATCAAAACATATTCTTGAGCAACTGGAAGGGTTGTGAGTCGACCAAAGCCATGGCTCTCCTGGACGCGTTGGATGCGAGGACTGTGGGCCATGTGGGCCACGCCACGGCACACCTAGGCAAGGAGACATGGTGAAAACACCGCAGGTTTTAGTCCTTGTTCCATTTGCCGCGGTTTTACTTTGTTTGCAGGACCCATTGATACACAAATGTTTGCTCGAGCTTTCGTGGCCAAAAACAGAACTTTGGCTTTGCACTCTTTTTGGAATTGCACCCGAGTTCGGAAAATTGCGCCCGAGTAGCGGGTAATTGCGCTCGAGTTGCGGGTTCGTTTTCTCTCGAGCACTTTACCAAAAACTGTCCGGAGCACTTTCTTGTGTATCAAAGGATCCGCCTATTTTTGACCCACCCACATGGAAACAACCCGGAATGTCGCTTCCACAGGATTTTGAAAACGTTTTGGTGTTCCACTACTTTCTCACTTTAAAGGGGACCCTGGGGAATACTTGGTCCCACATTGCTCCGAATCGATCGAGTTGGTCGAAACTTGGCAAAAAAAAGCAGAAACCACACTCGGAGTTTGAATGTTGAACTCCAGGAAGCCGAACCAAACCAGGATTTTGAAGTGTTCTACCCTTGGGGTCGGGGTGTTGTCCTTCTTTGAGTTCGGAGCTACCTGCAATGTACCGGTCCCAACTTCAGGTCAAACATACTGTGGAACCAACCAACACCATGGTGTCGACCATGTTTCTAAGTGGTGCGAAACGGAGTTCGCAACCATCCACAGCCTACTGTGGATGGAGGAAATCCTGCACCGCCTAGCGAACCCTGAAAGGATGATTCCCCTGTAGCTGCCAACAAACAACGGTTCCCATGGATTGCAAGTGGTGCGAACGGATTTGGTCCATCCACAGTATGGCCACGGGTTTAAGGGACAGGCGGATTGGAAACCCAAGGACCAAGCGCTTCCGGAACAGCTGGAGGTCCTGCGAGTTTTGGTCAAAGCGGTGGGGTCTTCGCAGCTCTTGTGGGTACCCTGCAATCCTTCTGGGGTTGGTTCAAAGAGAAACCCAAACGGGAGCCATGCAAATTTTTCTAGGGGTTGTTTCCTTGTCCATTCTTTTCAACCATCGTTCTTTTCCAAAACCAGCCGGTTTCCCGGGTTTCTGGAGGCTTTCTAGAAAGTTTCTAGAAAGAAGGATCCCTGGAAAGAATGGGGGAGGTACTCCTACAATTTTGGGGATTCCCCCGCTTTTGGGGAAAAACCATCCAGCTTCAAGGTGAGCTTCAGCCCCTTGCCCCTCAGCTCTGAAGATAGCGTCGCCTCACGAGAAACTCTCTTTCGCCGGCAAACGCAGGCTCTGGGATCGCCCTCCCCAGTCTTTGGACAACATCCCCTTCGCACCAGCTGGTGCAGCTCCGAGATTCTGTCCCTCAGGGCTTGCTGAGCTCAATTGACAAACCAAAGCTGGTATTCATCCAGAGTGATTCAAGAAGCCGGATCTCCGCAGCTCTTTATGGTTGGGATTGGCCCCTACTCCCCCGAGCCACACCCCCCCCCCCCCCCCCGAAATTCCCCTGAACCCCCCCTACTAACCTTCATCTACCCGAATCGGTTTTGAGCGAATTGGATTGTCGCCCGTCTCCGCTCCAGGCAGACAATCTTCAGGCTCTTGGTCGCTCTCCGCGTAACGGTGCACCTGGACGGCCCCTTGTTGGACCCCCTTTCGAAGGCGGCACAAGATGTTGCCTCAAAACGGCTGCTATGTTTAACAACCCAGGTTGTTTTCAAGGACCAACAATCATGCAAACTGAGAGGAGGGTCTACATCTTAAAGCCTCCCATCCCACTTCCGTGACAATTGGACAGAGTTGTCGTCGACTGTGCACAGCTTGCGCCTGGCTGCTGCGGCCGCTTGCCAAAGCGCAGAAGACCTCGAACAGCTCTGTGCCATAACTTCATGGTTCTCAGCGGGGCATGAGGGAATGACCCCTCGAAAAAATAGTTGGTGGCTTCCTTTCAGAGATCACCACATTACCAGCAAGATACTAAAACCTCCTTGCACGAAGACGATCACATTACCAGCAAGATATCAAAACCTGCTCGCATGAAGAGAAGATCACTCTTTCCAAAAAGGGAGTTCCTTATAGTGTCTCTCCTTAAACACCTCAAAAACAACTCTCCTTGGCAACCAGAAAACATCAGAAAACCAACTGGCAGCCACGCTCAGGTTCCAAGCCTTGAGGGCGCGGGTGCAGACTGTACAAGCCTTAGCACGAGGGTCCGCAAGCGGTTTGCAACCGTTGCGTCGGGATACACAAAACAAGGGAACTGCGGAGGAATGGAGAGGAAAAAGAAGAGAAGAGAGCAAGGGGGGAACAAAAAGAGGAAGGACTTCCCCAAGCGACCTTCAGTTTCGCTCATTCTACCCCTGAAATCGGTGATTGTGAACCAATTTGTCCGGATCCACGTTGGACATGGTCAGTGGGAAAGCATGGCCCTTGTGCGACCAAAAGCGAATCATGAAGACAAGTTGAAGCCTAGTTGTAAAAACAACCTTATTCTATGCAAACAAGCAGCTCCTGCCCTCGACGAGGAGTCGACACTCCTTGGGTGGCAGACTTGAAATGCCCGGCCAACTTGCATGAGCAAACTTTAGTGAACTTTAGTGACCATCTGATTGCAAAGTTGAAGTATCTGCCAGGAGTCGGGACATCTTGCTCAGGAAGAATGCTGCTAAAGCCGTCTTGGCCGACCTGCGAAACAAGCATCCAGGAAGCAACGCACCGAAGCAACGCCCGCGCCTGGTTCTGCCCATGTCGAAGCTCCAAGTGCTCCGACTGAGCCAGCGCGCCGCCAAGAACCAAATTGGGGGCGGCAATGTGCAGCCCCTCGATTTGGCCCTCGGGCGCGGCGACCTGCGCCTCGCTTGGGCGGGGCTGGGGATGGGAGTCCGCCGCACAATTCTCCGCCTCGACGGCATCCAACTTGTCGAGCCTCGCCTCTCCCCAGCTGACCGGCGCGGGCCTTTCAAGCGGCGGGAGCGAAGCTCTGGTCTGGACCTGGACGGGTTCCGCCAGGTGGACGAACTCCTCTTGCGCGGCCTCCAAGGCATAGAAGTCGCTTCTGGACTCTGACTGGGACACAGCCGGATCCAGTCCACTCAGCGCTGGTCCATCCATTGCACTCACGGACATAGCTTCTTGTCCATGCAGTTTGCTCACAAAGGGGATAGCTTCCTCCTCTTGAAGTCCGCCACACCTTGGCCAAACGAATCCGATCCAGAGCAAAGTTTGACCTTTTCTGATGAAACAGCAAATGAAGGAAACCCCAAAAGGACCTTTCAGGGCGAACCAAGGTTTCCAACAATGGACCGTGGGGGTTCTTCCGCACATCGAACCTGTGGCACTTGCCTCTAAAAAGGACCATTTCTCCGGTGGCTTTCTCCCTGACTCCGGCAGGAGGCTGGGGGCAAAAAATTGGCGTGGACAACCTCCATTTGCTTAGCCCTGTAAACAAAACAAACATATGTCCAGTAGTGATAGACTTGGGGAAAATAAACAATCTTCTTAACCAACTGGACGACAATCAAACGCCTTAACCCCGCCTGCTGGCTTCGGCAACCACTGCTTGGACTTCAGCCAGCTCCACAGAGATCTCTGGCCTTACGAAGCGCCGAATAAGGTCCGAACCTGTATTGCCTGGAAACGGCGTGGATTTGGCTGGAGTTGTTTGTTGGAATTGTGTAACAGACTCAGGTCCACACGGAAAACAAAAAAAAACACGAAAAGAAGACCACAAGTCACGCCCTACGATTTATTGGAAGGGGGACTTCTGCTTTGCCCCCAAATTCTCCGGATGGGCGGTTCATTCATAGACAGAGGCGCAGTGTCGGCACATCGGCCCGTGCCAGCGCAGCCTGGCGTATCCGCGAATCAAGCCCTCGTGCCAGATCGCAGCTTCCCTCCAATTCTTTTGGACAAACGAACAAGCGGGGATACGCAAGAAAGCGGGGAGATGGGGGAATCGAGTCCCTTGGCGCCATGTCTCATATCAAACTTAGGTGCATTTAGGGGGAATCCTCCCGCATCTCTGGTTTCCCCTGCATCCCTGCTAGTTGGTTTCCCTGATTCATGGTTTGGTTTGGTGCTCAGCTTCCCTCAAATTCGTCGTTTGCTCGCGCACCTTCCCCATGCTTCCTGGAAGGAAGGAACTACTGTGGATGGTTGCGAGATCCGTCTCGCACCACAGTTCAGAAACCATGGCTGAAACCACAAGGTTTGTTGGTATTTACATTGGAATCGTATCATTCCAGGGTTTCTGAACGGTGGTGCGAAATGGATTTCATCCATCCACAGTAGGGTTCAACTCCCCAGACCAAACCAAGTCGACCCGCCAAGGGTGGATATCCATGGCTCGCGAGGGTTGGCACGAAGGACACCGAAAGTTGGCAACTCCTTCGATGGCCACAGGGAAGCAACGGGGATCCTGGGTTGGCCTTGAACGGAAACGGGTCCCAGAAAAGCCATCTTGCCGCCCGCGCTCACAAGGACTGCTCTTGAGGGATTGAACATGACTGAAAAGAAAATCTGGAGCCATGACTTAGGTAAGGGCTGGGGACTCAGGAAACCGAAAAGGAAACTTTCACCCTGAAAAGATCCAACAAAAGCAGGCCTTGCACACTTTCAAACGGAGTTGAAACCAATTTGGAAAATCAAGGACCCTGTTTTTCACGGTCCAACCGCCTGAACCCCCGATCAGTTTGAGACACCTCAAGCTCGGCCTCTTGCGCCATCTCTGCCTGGTCGGAGACCTGGAAAACAGAGAGGGAGATGATCCTTGCCATTCCAAACCCACAGCAAATGGAGACTATATATTAACAACAATATGATCCTTTTTTTTCCAAGCCACAAAAAGATAGAGATAAACAACATTGATTGCGTGTGCATGGAGTGGGTGAACCATTGCCCGAGCTGAATGCATGTCAAACTCACTTCCAGCTGGAATGCCGGGATTCCAACCAGCTGGATGAACTTGTCGATCCTTGGATGCCCATGGGAACCACAACATGGGACACGGACCCACCGAAGTGCCCGGGAGGGACCTTTCGGTGCCCTTGAAAACAACCATCAACAAACATGGGGAAAAAAACGGCAAAACTTCCACCCGTGGCTGAGCCTTATCCAGCATACCTGCTCAGCAGTTTCCATGTGGAATCTCGGGCTGGGCTCCGGGTTTCTGGCCATTCATCCAAGCCACTCGGCTTCTTTTCGTCTTTCGGCCTCCTGGTGCTTGCTGGCGCATGGCCATGAGGTGCTCACGATGCAAAGTACAACCCAGGGAACGCATGTCTCCCATCCCAGCGGTATCTCAAAGGACAAACTTTCGTGCCATCGGAACCCCTCGCTGGCAATATGTTTCAGGGTTCAATTCCGTCAGCCACCAAATACAGCTAAGTGGGTATGACTTTCCATTGGGGACACTGTGGGCATGAGACATACATGGGTTTTGTTCACCTTCCAACATGGAACCTGACTGGCTTGAAAAACTACCAAAGCAACAGAGTTCCATGTTGATGAGTGGGGTATGCACAAGTTCGACCAAATCGAAGAATTCCAAGACCTGAAATAAGGGATCCCTAGGTAAGGACCTTCGTCACTGCTTTCGCTGGGATTTACGCCTAGGGTCGAGCTTGCCACTAAATAGGCGGAACAAAGAATGGGGGGAAGGACCCCCCCCCTTAAATGCTCAGGTGTCGGTTTTCCCTTGAATGTCGGGTAGCGAGTAGCAAATAGGGAGGCAATTTAGAAAAGTCCTCCCCGCCCTGAAAAGATAAAGGGAGGAGATACAGAAAAATCATTTTGTCCGGTCAAACAAAATATGTGGCTGTCCGAGAAAAAAACATGATCCAGCCCTGGCAATGCGGGGGGGGGGGGGGGGGCCTTTACTACTCCCCCCTCACATTAAAACCGAACTTTCCGGGGTACCTCCCAAGGCACACTTCCACTCGCCGACCCCACCCCCCCCCCCCCCCAGTGCTTTCGCACACGCGACTTGGTTGCCGTTCACCCCTCTGCAAAAAGTGTTTAACTTTTTGTGGGTTTAGTGGAAACCCCGCTGGATTTCCGACAAAGGTCAAAGTCTGAAGATACAACCATAGGTGGCCTTGTGGAAAAATAGATGGCCCTGGTAAACGGAATAAGCGACACCTACTGTGGATGGACGAAATCCCGCACCACTACGGACGCCCTGCCAGAATGGTTCCCCTGTAAATACCAACAAACAAATGGTGTCCCATGCTTTCGAAGTGGTGCGAAATGGATTTCGCAACCATCCACAGCTATGGCTCCAACCCAGCAGTCGATCAAGGCCGTTGGTGCCGATTTCGCCTTCGCGGCCGCCAGCGCCGCCGCCTCCGCGGCCTTCTTGGCCTCCATCACCCCCTTGATCGAGAAGCGCTCAGTTGCCTCGCTCTCGCTGCCTCGGGGAGCGGGCGGAACCGCGGACGCTCGGAAGGGAATTTTCCGCCGGAGCTGAGGGGCTCGAAGGTGACGTTTGGAGGCGGTCTTTCGCGTGTTTCACCAAAAGAAGGGACAGCCAAGAGAAGTCTCCAGCTTCTTTTCACCCTCGATTCATTTGTTGGGTTCTATGATGCATTTCACGAATAAGGTAACTTAGTCCTAAATCAAAGAGGTCACTTGAGCCATTTCAAGGGCACTTAGGACCCTCAGGGCTGCCCCCTCCCCAGTCCTTGCAAATCTAGCCGCAGCTCTCAATCAAATGTGGCAGTTGTCACACTTCGACACAGGTAGCTGTTCGAGTTCAACAAGGTCCCAACCCCTATCAAGCTCCGACACGGCCTTATCTCGACTCAAAAACACGTGAAGTGCCCTTGGTTAAGAAGGGCACTGAAAGTATGCTGGCTGAAGCCATTCAACATCATTCAACATAGATATACCGGTAGCGGTGCATTCACCTGTTAAATGGGCTCTAAGAAATAGGTTCCTTTCGGATGCGATTTCGCACATGATGGTCCTTTGGTGAAAGCTGGAGCCTGTTTATTGGAACCCGCCAAACGGGCCGTTGACTCAACTGTGGACCTTTCGGATTTTAGTTCGGGACCCCTAAAGAAGATGAGGGCCAAGCCAAATTACAGGAACTTGGGGACAAGACAAAGCAAGAATAGGAGCAACCGCCGTGTGCTTGGAGGGCTCCGCCTTCAGAGGTCCAACAATTGACTACCCCACAATGCCAGAAAACCGATAGGAAATGGACCAAGACTATGCCCTGATGGTATCGTCATTTCGGGGATCGGCAACCCTGCCCTCTGCACAAACGGCTGCACTGACATGGGTTTACCGTGTTTTTGAGTCGAGGCCAGTTCAGGCCGTGTCAGTGCCCTAAGTGTCCCTTTGATTCGTTTGCTCAGTGCCCCCTTTGGCTTGGTGGGGGTTGGGATCCCGTTGAAATCGAACAGCCCGTGTCGAAGTTGTTGGGTAAACAAAACTCTATCCCGGTCACTAGGTCCTCCAGTAATTAGAGAGGTTAGAACAAGGGTACCCTTTTTCTGTAGTCAATTTAGGCAGGGGAACCCTCCCCCCAAAAAAATTAAAAGGGCACGACTGGGCGGCCTAGGTTAAGAACAACAAACCAGCGGTGCCGAGTCGCCCGAATCGGCCCAAGGCACAGCCCAAGTCCTGAGTCCTGCCCACGGATGCATCGGGAGTACTTGGGGTGAGCAAGTCTCAAAGCATCAAGGCGTTTCTCAAAATGGTCCCTCAACATGCTGGGCTTCCTCTGGGTTTCCTCTTGGTTTCCCTCGACATGCTGGGTTTCCTCTTGGTTTCCAACTTTCACTGCAACCAGGGTCCGAAATCCTTTTTTTAAGCAACCCCCATCTCTTGGTTGACGTTGGATTGAGAGCAACAATTCAAAATTTAGCAGCTAAGTGGGGATTTCAACCACTAAACACAATAAGCAAAGTGTAAAATGCTTCCCAAACGACAACCATGATCTAGCCCTCACTCCTCACAGGTGTCGACCGCCTGACGCTCGGTCCTATGCCATGTGAATGGCTCATGGACCTCGCCCGCAGCGCGTGCTGAGCATCCGCCAGCCGCTCTGCGAAGTTGGCCTCGCAAGGCTTTGAAGCGACTGGAATCAAACGAACCTCTGGGAGAAATCAGGGCAGATGTGTGTCTAGGGGTTGATTCCCCATTCTTTCCAACCATTGTGTTTTTTTTCAATAACCAGCTATTTCCCTGGGTTTCCGAAAGTTTCCTAGAAAGAAGGATTCCTGAAAAGAATGGGAAAGAATGGGTCAACATCCTGTACCCCCAGTGAACTTCCCAATCCCCACTAAAATAGGTTCTAATATGGGTGGTGCACCTACCCCAAAATGGTACCATTGGATTTGACCCACGGCCATGTGTGTGTGTGTGTCAAAATGCGGGGAAACCCAAACTGGTGGGATTCCTTTCGTCTTCCTGTAACAAGAAGGGTGCCCTCAAGCAACACAGCACCATTCAAACTGCAAACAACCTCCTTCTGTTTTCAAAAAGCCAGGGTCTGACCTCGGGGCACCCATTTCGCGGGGTCGTGCACCTGCATTTTTCGCCAATCCTTGAACTGGGGCTGGGAATGAGTCGGAGGTCGGATGCCAGCGCCTGGATTGCTGGGGACAAAATCCTGCACTTGGGTTGGAAGAACCCAGCATTCTGTGAGATCACTGGGCTGTCGAGCTTTAGCTGCCGAAGAAAAATATATGTAGTCCGAATATGAAGTGCCCTGAGACTGGCCCCGTGATTGTGTCATATTCAAAGTCACCCATGCCTGCGCCATTGAATGTCCAGCAGCCGCAAAGCATTAGCGCTTGTCAAGCTATTCCCCTATAAGTGCCCTGGTTGAAGGGAAGCAACCTAAGTTTCCCACTTTAACCGACATCTTGGAGCACTCCAAACATACAATTGTCCTTTTCACTTCTCTACCCTGAAATCGAGAATCCTTTGGAACGAGAGCCGTCCAAACTTCCTTTTTGAGAACCCCCCCCCCAAAAAACAACAGCAAACAAAATAGAATCCTTTGGAACGAGAGCTGTCCCATTTCCTTTTTACAGACCCCCCCCCCCCGAAAAGAAAAAAAACAAAAAACCGAAAAACGGCGCGCGCTTCGCCTCCTGGGAATTGAAGGCCGTCAGCGCCCGCACGGAGCGCCGGCGCTGGAAGAGCTCCGGCACCTCCCCGTGCCCCGACAAGCTGCGGCGGCGGTTGGCCTCTCGAGGGCCCAGGTCCGCCTCGGCTCGGGCAGAGTCGTTGGAAAAATGCCGCGATGGGTGTGGCGCAAAGTTAGAAAGCCGGGGTTCCGCAGGTGTTGTTGTCTACTTTTGCTGTTTACTTTTGGGCTCCATTTTGGACCTAGGAAATGGCACGACTGTGGGACGTGCTCGTAGGTGGCTTCCCGTTTCGCCTCATTCAAACCTCCTTTTCGCCTTGAACATCAGTCAAAGTTTTACCCGTACAAATGACACACTCACACATATCTATACACTTGTTGAAGCCCAAGAGGCAGGCAGTCCAAAAGAGCAATCTTGGCCACCAACTTCTTTGTTGGGAGGGTTGTTGTTTTTGACGAGAACCTCGCCCAAAACCAACCCTCTGACCCCTAACTTCCACCCACCCCCGAACCTAACCTAGACCAACCCTGGGAAAACCCACAGCTTCCGCTGTCCCCGACAAAAAACCCGTGAACCAAAAACGCCTCCCTTTTTTGGGGCTCCCAAAGGCGTTTTCTGCAGAAACTCTCACAGGCTACGAATTCGACTTCGACTTCTATTTGCGGATACGTCCCCTGGAAAAAAAATAACAATATTTCCACTAGTGATACCTGGAGTCTCCATGACCCTTAAAAAATGGGGTCATTACCCAAAATTACGGTGTCATGGACCCATTTTTTAAGGGTCATGGAGACTCTAGGTAGTGATTGCTTCCCTTTAAAACCAACTGGGTTAAACAAAAAAATGGAAGTCGAACGGACCGGCCTCGGAGTGCCCGTGGGAGATGCTGCGCTTCCGCTGCGGCGTCAGAGACGGCGGCAGCAGGCGGCATGGGCCGGCCGTGCTCGGCCGCGCTTTTGGTTTCGCCCTGCGCTGCCTGCGAGGCGACCCATGGAATCGCGGGGAAAATTATGTCATCAGAAACCCAGGCTCAGATTCGCCGATTGAATCTGAGAATGGCCCTCAGGACACCATTCAGCCACTAGTGTCACCTTCTAGGTCCTCCAGTTGAGAGGTTGGAATAAGTTGGTGCCCTTTTTGGTAGTCTATGTTAGTAGGAGAACCCTCCCCCAAAAAAAGAGTAAAAGGCACTACTGGGGGACCTAGGTAATGAGGGGGGAAAACTCTGAGTTATCCATTGCTAAGCATTGGAGGGCACCCGGACCGGAAAAAAGGAGGGGATTACCAATTACGATGTTTACATTCACTTGTAACAGGGACTGCACCAGTTGGGATGGATGAACCCCCGTGAATACTGGGATTCTACATCCAACTGCTGGAATTTCTCCACCCGCGGATGGCTTTTTTGAAAACGAACCTTGGTTGACGTTGGAAGGGGAGCAAACAAATAATTTAAAGTTCAGCAGTTGAGTGGGGATTTCAACCACTGAACCACAATAAGCACAAATGTAAAATGTTTCACCAACAACAACCATGTAACCTGTTGGTTTCCTTCCATTTGCTGAAGGCCCCTGGAAAAAAAAAAACACTAGTGAAATTGATTCCCTTTAAAGCCAACAGGGGAAAACAACCACATATTCATTTCGGCAAATGGACGTTTCCTGCCCGGGTGAGACTTGTCTCAAGTCCCCAACTTCCCGCCTGGCTTCCGCAATCCACTGCTCTCCTCGCTGGATCTGGACCAGCTGAGCGCGTTGCGCCTGCAGAAATTCCGGCTCGCTCCGGCTGGCCTGGACACCTCAGCGAGCTCTGCTCTCCGACGGGTTGATACCTAGAGTCTCCACCCTTTAAAAATGGGTCCACGATCCCTTAATTTGGGTAATGACCCCTTTTTTTAAGGGAGTCATGGAGACTCCAGTTCGGGCAACTATCGCCGCCCATGTCTGGCGGGAACTGTACCACATAAACTTCACTTGCCCAAACAGGTCTTTGCGGCATATCACGGTTCAGTTGAACTAAGCTTGGTTGCTGCAACGCCCCCCTGCAAAAAGGTTCTCACTTTTTGGGGGTTGAGTGGAAAACACCACTCAATATTTCAACCAAAAAGCGACAAAAAGTCGAAAGCTCCAACCATATCCAACCCAACAGCAGTCAAGAAAAATGGCGAGCCGTTCTGGGATACAAGAAAGGACCCCAAGTTCGGCAACCCCTGGTGGATTGCCGTTTTTCCGTTTCTGAGCCGATGGCAAGCTGCGCGAGCTCGTGGTGGTCGATCAGGCCTGTCTGAGACAACCAGTCCATTCCAAGCATCCCAGCCGCTGAGCGTTTGGGGCTGCAGCGCCCTTACACGAAGAACATCTTCCGTCACGTCTTGTGCAAGTCCTGGCTTGAGGTCACTGGCTGCCCTTGGCTCCTCCTGCGCAAGTCCTGGCTTGAGGTCACTGGCTGCCCTTGGCTCCTCTTGCGCAAGTCCTGGCTTGAGGTCACTGGCTGCCCTGGGCTCGTCTTGTGAAGGTCCTGGCTCGAGGTCACTGGCTGCCTTGGGCTCGTCTTGTGAAGGTCCTGGCTCGAGGTCACTGGCTGCCCTTGGCTCCTCTTGCGCAAGCCCTGGCTTGAGGTCACTGGCTGCCCTGGGCTCCTCTTGCGCAAGTCCTGGCTTGAGGTCACTGGCTGCCCTGGGCTCGTCTTGTGAAGGTCCTGACTCGAGGTCACTGGCTGCCCTTGGCTCCTCTTGCGCAAGCCCTGGCTTGAGGTCACTGGCTGCCCTGGGCTCGTCTTGTGCAAGTCCTGGCTTGAGGTCACTGGCTGCCTTGGGCTCGTCTTGTGAAGGTCCTGGCTCGAGGTCACTGGCTGCCCTTGGCTCCTCTTGCGCAAGCCCTGGCTTGAGGTCACTGGCTGCCCTGGGCTCGTCTTGTGCAAGTCCTGGCTTGAGGTCACTGGCTGCCTTGGGCTCGTCTTGTGAAGGTCCTGGCTCGAGGTCACTGGCTGCCCTTGGCTCCTCTTGCGCAAGCCCTGGCTTGAGGTCACTGGCTGCCCTGGGCTCGTCTTGTGCAAGTCCTGGCTTGAGGTCACCAAGCGCATTGTGCCTTGGCCCCTCTTGCACGATTTCTGGCTTGAGGTCACTGGGTGTGCACAGCTCCTCTTGTGCAAGCCCTGGCTTGAGGTCACTGGCTGCCCTGGGCTCGTCTTGTGAAAGCCCTGGCTTGAGGTCACGAAGTGCATCGTGCCTTGGCCCCTCCACAAGCTCCGGCTTGAGGTCACTGGCTGCGCTTGGCTCCTCTTGTGCAAGCCCTGGTTTGAGGTCACCAAGTGCATTGTGCTTTGGCTCCTCTTGCACAAGCTCTGGCTTGAGGTCACTGGCTGCCCTGGGCTCCTCTTGTGCAAGCCCTGGCTTGAGGTCACTGGCTGCCTTGGGCTCGTGTTGTGCAAGTCCTGGCTTGAGGTCACCAAGTGCATTGTGCCTTGGCCCCTCTTGCACGATTTCTGGCTTGAGGTCACTGGGTGTGCTCAGCTCCTCTTGTGAAGGTCCTGGCTTGAGGTCACCAAGTGCATTGTGCTTTGGCTCCTCCTGCGCAGGCTCTGGCTTGAGGTCACTGGCTGCCCTGGGCTCGTCTTGTGAAAGCCCTGGCTTGAGGTCACGAAGTGCATCGTGCCTTGGCCCCTCCACAAGATCTGGCTTGAGGTCACTGGCTGCGCTTGGCTCCTCTTGTGCAAGCCCTGGTTTGAGGTCACCAAGTGCATTTTGCTCTGGCTCCTCTTGCACAAGCTCTGGGTTGAGGTCACTGGCTGACCTGGGCTCCTCTTGTGCAAGTGCATCGTGCCTTGGCCCCTCCACAAGATCTGGCTTGAGGTCACTGGCTGCGCTTGGCTCCTCTTGTGCAAGCCCTGGTTTGAGGTCACCAAGTGCATTTTGCTCTGGCTCCTCTTGCACAAGCTCTGGGTTGAGGTCACTGGCTGACCTGGGCTCCTCTTGTGCAAGTGCATCGTGCCTTGGCCCCTCCACAAGATTTGGCTTGAGGTCACTGGCTGCACTTGGCTCCTCTTGTGCAAGCCCTGGCTTGAGGACACCAGGTGCATTGTGCTTTGGCGCCTGTTGCACAAGCTCTGGGTTGAGGTCACTGGCTGCGCTTGGCTCCTCTTGTGCAAGCCCTGGCTTGAGGTCACCAAGTGCATTGTGCTTTGGCTCCTCCTGCACAGGCTCTGGCTTGAGGTCATTGGCTGCCCTTGGCTCCTCTTGTGCAAGCCCTGGCTTGAGGTCACCAAGTGCATTCAGCCTTGGCTCTTGCACAAGCTCTGGGTTGAGGTCACTGGCTGCGCTTGGCTCCTCTTGCACAAGCCCTGGCTTGAGGTCACCAAGTGCATTGTGCCTTGACTCTTGCTCTGGCTCAAGCCCTGGCTTGAGGTCACCAAGGGCATTGTGCCTTGGCTCCTCCTGCACAGGCTCTGGCTTGACGTCATTGGCTGCCCTGGGCTCCTCTTGCGCAAGCCCTGGCTTGAGGTCACTGGCTGCCCTGGGCTCGTCTTGTGCAAGTCCTGGCTTGAGGTCACCAAGTGCATTTTGCTTTGGCTCCTCTTGCACAAGCTCTGGCTTGAGGTCACTGGCTGCCCTGGGCTCCTCTTGTGCAAGCCCTGGCTTGAGGTCACCAAGTGCACTGTGCCTTGGCCCCTCTTGCACGATTTCTGGCTTGAGGTCACTGGCTGCGCTGGGCTCCTCTTGTGCAAGTCCTGGCTTGAGGTCACCAGGACCAAAGCCAGGCCTTTCCTTGGCAGCGAGGTCTGCCTCTTTGGACAGGATCTCCCGGACTCCTTTCTCGAACTTGCGGATGGCCTGCGATGGAATCTTCTCGATGGATGGAACCTCCAAGCCGTGCGACACCTCTGGCACCGGCTCTGGGCAAGGATTGGGGACTTCACCTCAGTTGTTCAGTGACCCTGGAAAAAAGGGAACATGTTTTTGGGGGGAAGACAATTTTCACTGGGGCAGCCACTAAAAAAAGGGAAAAGGGTGCCACTGAACAACTGAGTCACATGTCTCATCTTGGCTCCCCTCTTCGGATACCTTTCTTTGCATGTTGGCAGAGGATAGACTGCTATTCTGAAGACCGTTCATCTGTTGAAGCCCGCTTTGCATTGCTTCTTTGCTGGTTTGTCCTGGTTCCCGCGCAAGCCATCTTGTCTCAGATCGTGCAGCTGTCCAATCTGTGAATTGCCCTTGTGCTCCAGCATCAGCTTGCATCTCATCGCTTCGTGTTGGCGACTGGTCGGAACAAGGCATCTCTTGTCCAGAGTTGCTCTCCTTCGGACAAAAACACCACATCCGCATGAATAGACACCGGGCTTTACCAATAACTACATGTTTTTTGCAACATGCACATGGTGCTTCCGACTTTTCTCAGTCACTCACACAGCAGGCCGAACAAAATGAAGCTTTGCAGCATTAGTGCTTCCAAGTGTGCGTCCTTGCGCATGATGTAAACTCATTTGCGTATTGTTCATATCCCCCCAAAGCTGGATTGCACAGTTTGTTGCAGTATGTTCAAGCACCCATTGAAATTCTAACGCGCTGAACGCGCTCTGCATGAGCAGCGAACTTGTAGCACGCACGCATCGAATTGAACAAAACACCCGAAACAGCGGCCACCTTGACACACTCTTTGCGCTGTACTTTCCTGCGTCTTGCCCCCTTGCGCATGCTATCTTGCATCCATGACGGGAATCGCGGGGGGTCGGGTTTCGACTAGAAAGCAGTGGGAATGCAAGCAAATGAAGTATGCAGCAAAGATATGCTGCGCTTCAGCCTGGTGTCCAAGTCCAAAAAAATCCCTCTTGGAAGATGCTCGGCACTGACTGCTGCAGCCAGCCAATCCTCAGCATGCGTCCGAAATGTGAAACAACCCAAACATCTGGTAGCCCTGTCTGCAATTTGTGTGAAGTTACTTGCGTGTCAAGCCCTGCGTTGCAGCCAAATTGAACATGCCCCCCGAGTTCCCGCAACAAATTTATGTCTTGCTGGTCAGGAGGGAAAATGATGGACCCCCAATAAAGCCAAGGCTGAAGACATGAATTAGATCTGACCATGTTTCTTGGTTCCTTGCGCCAAACCTATCGCCAAACCACGACTTCGGGATTTGGACCGAGGCACCGCAATAACCTGCCCAGCACTGGCGCTGGTCACCCGTGAAGACACAATGCTGCCGGAGTTTGGCGCCTCTCCGACTCTCAGTTGTTCAGTGACCCTGGACAAAAAAGAATTGGAACCCTTTTTTGGGCTTGGACCATTTTAGTGGGGCAGCCACCAAAAAAAAGGTTGGAAAAAGAATTGGGGCCACTGAACAACTGAGGTGACTGAATCAACCCACTTGCGAGTTCTCAGGAAATCGCCTGGGTTTTGGGAATGAACCGGATACCCTCAAAGGGTAACCCCAGCATGCCTGAAAGGAATCATCCCAACTCCCTGCCTATCGAACAGAGTTCAAAGGCACCCTGTTTGGGTCCTTTAGCACCATATTGGGCTGTTCGGTCCCTTATTGAGTGACCCTAAATGGGTTCTGACAAAGGGATCTTAGGAAGCTACACACATAATGGTCCTCCACGCTGGAACCTGTTTATCAGAACCCGTTCAGGGCCTATTGACCTCAGGGAAACCCAGACATTTTTTGAGCAAATTGGTTGGAACATGTTCAACCCAGAGGTGGCCAACCTGTGCACTCGAACCTTCACATGCGGCTAGAATTTGTGTAAGGGTTCTTTCTACGTTCTCGTCTAACGGGCTTTGAAGTGAGGGTCATGCCGTACGTACATGTTACATGCAATGTCGTCTGCTTGAATACAAGGGTTTTTGCCCCATGACTCCAAGCCTCAAGACTCACCCAAGTAAACAAGCAATGTATGCGGGGAACCCGCCAAGGTCAATGGTTCGCATTCAGAAGGCCTGGAATGGCGCACCCCTTTTGGCGGCTTTGAAGAAACGACCACAAGGAAGCCCAACGATTCTTCTTTTGAAGGGGGTCCCCCCATTTCGCGACATACCAGCAAGGTGGTTCTTATGTTTATTCCGGGAATCAAGGGAGTAATAATCAGAACCTGGTGTCCAAGGGATCCCTAAGTCCAAAACACTTGAGGCATCCATGTGTGGTCTGTTCCCAACATTCAGAAACCTGAATCGATGCTGCTCGATTGCTGCTAAGCTCCAGCAATATCCCTGCGATAAAGTACACATTGCCCAAGTGGTGGTGTACGGGGGAACCCACGCCCTTGGCAAAACAAAATGCACGCCTCAGCTTCCAGAAATCCTGGATGTTCCACATGTGCTGCAGCCTCCTTCGCAACTTTGCAACGGCTGAGCTGCAAAGCCCCCTGCGCAACGGACCCCGGCAACGTTGGCCTTTGCATCTGATCTGGGGCTAATAGGGTGCCAACTAAGTGCCGCTCAGCGCTCAGGCATGAAGTGCCCCTTCCGTTGACACGAAGCCTCTCAGGCTCCAGAACCCCTTGTTGGAATCCCTCGACCTGATTAAAAGATAACTCCAAAACGGGCAACCAAACACATGGCAACCCGATGACTCTCAGTCCTCGTCGAGGTCTGACCGCATCTCTACATCTTGTGTGAGATCTGAGACTGTCTCCCGTCTATGGGAGCCTCCTGATGGGCTAGGTTCTTGGCGAGCTTCTGCAGTCTCTTGGCGAGCATCGATCCCGGGGATGTCATTGGCTCTGCCATGGCCATCTATCCTTGGTTGCTGCAACGACCCCCCTGCAAAAAGTGTTCAACTTGTTGGGGGTTGAGTGGAAAACACCCCAATATTTCAACCGAAAAGTTAAAGTCTAAAGATCCGTTGCCCAATAGCAGACAAGTATCCATACCCGACTTTCTGTCTTGCTCTTTTGTCTCTGCTCGCTCTCCTGTGCAAGCCTTCTAGCCCGGGAGATTGCAGCCCTCCAATCTTGCGCGGCCTCCGGCGCCGGCGGCTCGCTGGCTGGCGACTGGTCGCAAGACCATAGGACCTCTTGCTCGGAATTGCTCTCCTTACTGCAGGGATCCGGATGCATTGCACATCTGAACATTGCAACTTGTAAATGGTGGTTTCCCCTTATTTCGAAGTTGACAAAAAGCAGCATGTTTCAAATGGTGGCAAAATGGAGATCTTTTAAGGAGCCCTGTGCAATGAATTCTGCACATCTCCAGGACAGCACCACAAGCCCTGCACGAGTGAAGAAATTACTATGGTCCTATGGTATTCAAGAACGAATGCCATTTATCCATACGCAGGCTACATTGCTAAGCGGTACCTATTGATGTGCAAGGTATGAATAGTATCGCGGACATGGCAGTGGATTCATCTGTTAAGACGGAATACTACAAACAGTTTGTTACGCAGTGCTTCGCTTCAGCCTGGTGACGGCCAAAGCGCCTGATGGAAAAGCCAGCCAATCCTCAGCAAGCGACAGGCCAACACCTCAAGCAACCAGCAATCTGGAGTTGTTTTCAGAGGAAAATGTCGTGTACTTCTGGGTGGTAGCCCAAATTTCTAGGAAACCATACCCTGGTAGCTCTAAACTGCGCATTGCGCAACTTGGCTTGGAGCCACATGCACGTCCCAGGCAGTCCTCCAGCTTTGGCTCCAAAGAAGCCCTGACTGCACGTTTCAACGCCCTGATGGCCTAGCTAGTTCAATCCCACCTCTTTTTGCATAGTTTTGCAAAGGAAACCGAAAGGAACCGCCTGGAGGGTCCTTTTTTGGGAAACACCCACTGGAGGACAAACTGGAACATGGCCGTGAAACCAAAACCAGGGACCCATTCGGAAACAGTCACTCAAAGGAATCAATCTGGAACCGACCATTTGGAGAGCCACTCCATTGGACACATACCATATCGCCTAATGAACTTAAAATGTGGGTCTTTGATAGTCTTCAAGGGGAACACCCTAAAATCGGTGATTTTTCTTTGGTTGTCCTTTAACTTAACCTGAAAAGGGCTACCCAACTAAAAACAACACACACCTTCCCTTCCGAACTTGTGCATCAGTCAAGACTCTGCGATACCTTGCACGGCACTATCCTCCGTTCCGCGCGGCGGTAGACTGCCTGTTCCCGGGGCCTGCCAAAGCATACTTGCGAATTGGGACAAAGGGGTACTAGTCCATTTGGTTAGGACCCTGGAAAAAAATATGTTTCCAGTAGTGTAGATTCCCTTTAAAACCAACAAAAAAAATAAAACATATTCTTCAGCAAATGGAAGGTACTGGTGAGGGGCCAGCAGATCCGCATAACCAAAGTGAGGCAGCCAAGAGAAAGTCATGGGACAGCATGGGCCCCGATTTTTGTGCAAATGTTGGGCGGAGTCCCCTGTCCTCCCCAAACTAACAATTGACTGCCCACAAGTTCACGACAATGAGTTCGTGACTGACAGACTCCTGCTGGGGAACACTCCTCCCTTTGCGGACGGTGTCGTTCACCCTACGCCGGCTGAGCCTCTCTGATGCCTTTTACTCACACTTCAATCTGCATGCCCAATTCAGATTGAAGTCTTCACATGGATCGGGGAAAAAAAGGAAAAACAAAGGGAAAACAAAGGAAAAAAACAAAAACAAAACAAAAAACGGAAGAACAAAAAACTCGTGCCCGGCCAAAGGTGCATGGCCTTCAAACTTCGGTGACCATTCGTGCAGGCACGAAGCCCAAGGTCAACTTCGGGCTAGCTCGGAGGACCAATCAGGGGTCCCCTAGGTCCTCCAGATTTGAGAGGTTAGAATAAGTCTTGGTACCAACTTTTTTTCTGCAGTCTATTTTAGTAGGGTCCCGAACCCTCCCAACCAAAAAAGGGGCGAGAAGGGCACTACTGGGGGACCTAGCCTTTGCTGGGGTGATCAAACATTTTTATGGGCCTTCCTCGATTTAACTAGCAGGGTCCAGACTGTTTTGACGCTGACATTTGCAAGCACTGAACGCATCAGTGTGCCTGCGCCAAACCGTTCAGCACATTCATCATCTTGTCTTCTGCCACATGCGCCGCCACTCCACTCGCGGAGCTCTTTGAAACTGAGATGCTCGCCTCAGCCGGCATGACTTGAGCTTGGTTGCTGTTGACCCCCTGCAAAAAGTTACACTTTTTGGAGGTTTAGTGGAAAACACCTCTGTTTCCCAAAAAGTCGAAGTCTGAAGATCCAACCCAATAGCAGTCAAGTGAGCTGCAGTCAACATTGCCTTCCTGTCAAGAAAGTCCGAGTGAGTTCCCGTGCTCCCAGTCTACGCCCGTTATTCAAGTGCCCTGTCACCAACAGACACGGACGTGCACAACAAAACCACTTTCCGAAAGGGACGTAAAGGGAAGTATTGAGAAGCGTTCTGTGCACTTCTATGTGTTTGTTTGCTGGAAGGGTACTGGTACTCTTGGCTCACAACCTCCTTGGACAATTCGGATCCCCGCATGGCCAAGTAGCAGTGTCTGCTGCTCGGTGCAAAGCACTGGAGAAAACCGCTTCCTGTCGAGAGCGAATGAACAGGTTGATGAGCATCCCGTCCCAAGTAGAAGGGCACAAACGCCCGACTAAATGGAACCTGCCAAATCCAAGCCAGCCCTCAAGTTAGGGTGCACCAGGGTGAACGCAGATATCCCCGTTTTGTGGGTAAAGAAGTAAAGGGGATGAAAAAAAAATACCAACGAGAGTGCCATCTTTCACGCAACTGTATCTTTGGAGCGTCCCCCTGGGTCTGGTGTCAACCGGCCTCCGGCCGGCCCCGCCTCTTGCACCAGGGCTTCCTCCAGCTTTGAGTCATTTGCATCCGAAGGGCTGTCCTGATCAACCAAGCTCTGTCCGACGTGTCGAAATACCAAGGGATGATAAAACCCGAACACCAAAAGAAATTCGAAGAGCCCGGTGTACAACACCAAAGGAATTCGAAGAGCCCCTCTCTGTACACTTGGTACAGGCAGGCCCTCATTGATGACTCGATGGCATCTTGCACCTGCAAGGCTTCCCTCGAGGTATCGTGCAACATGCTGGTGGGATATTCAGGCAAGTATTGCCTTCACTGCGTGTCATCCATATCCATATCCCCCCAATCCTGGCCATCACTGCTCAGCGTCAGGTGGTCTGACGCCTGATCAAGGGAGCCATTCTCAAAGTCACCCCCATGGTCCGGGTCGTTTTGCCACCTTTTCTGAGATCATTTGGTGCCCCCTCAACCAGGAATGCTTCACTACAAGGGGGTCGATCATTTTTCCACCAAAGGTGGCAGAAAGACCCTCCTGCCGCCTCAATGGTCCGGGTGAAGGGAACAGGCCCCGGCCCGAGTCTCTGACGTTAAAAATCCATAACACTCGAAAAATGGCATCGGACAAACACCGAATATTGTCGACCCCTTCACAAATCCAGCAACTCCACGGTAAGAAGGGATTCCCCACTTGGCGTGCCTTTTTCGTGAAGGTTGGGTGCCCGGCTTTGTTGAAAAGAAGCCAAAGGAGCGGCCTCGGATGTTCCCTACTTTGGAAATTGTCGACCGGAATCTTTTCAATAAGGCTTAGATAGAAAAACAAACGCAGCATGGGTCTTGCACTTGTTTCCGGGTTGTGGATGTTGAAGCAGTAGACGAGGAATGATCAACAAGGCGGGCTTGGAGAGAACAGGGTCAGATTTCCTGGCTAGGCGAAGAGGATTTGTGAAGGTCTTCGAGTACCCTTCTTCTTTTCGGGGGGACTGAATACTTCTGGCAAACGCAGGGTCTGCATAAGCTCACATAAGCTGATTCAAATAGGATAATCTTGAGTAACATTCAATTGAGGCAGGATTATTCCCAGGCAGAAATTGCGCGATACTAAACCAATACTAAACCAATTCCAAGCCACTAGCATTGGGGCAGCAGCAATTCTAAACCACGAATCGAGGGCCAAAGAGGACCGAAGCTGCCCGAAGCGGACCGATGTGAAACTGGCACAAAGCAATAGGTCCTCCAGATTTGAGAGGTTATAAGGTAGCCGTTTTTCTGTAGGAACCCTCCCCAAACAGGGGTTAAACAGGGCATCTAGCTGGGGGACCTAGAATAAGCCGACTACAAACCAATAAATGCTAAAGCAGCACTATCAAAGCGCCATCAACGCTAGGGACTCGGCTGCAGCCGGATGGGAGGCTCACTCAAAGCGCACGAATCAGAGAGGAGCGAACAGGGAGGACCGGAGAGGACCAAGAAAAACCTATGTGAAACTAGCCCAAAGCAATACAAAACAATGCAGTCCAATACTAAATCAATGCAAAACCAGCACTACTAAACACATACTCAGCCAATGCTAACAAGTACTTACAGTGGTTAGAGACTATTTGGGCGGGGGGGGGAGGCTTTTGGCCCCCCTTCAAAGTTGGTTTCTTTAAAGGCACCACCCCTGCCCCCCACAAAATGGACCGCACACTGGACACTGTGACTAAACCTATTTGGAGACAAATCCAAGGAGCAAAGTCAGGCCTCGCTACCCAGCAAGAAGTCGAAGCCGCCTACCAATGTAAAAGACATGCCGGATTCAAAGCCACCGCCCATGGCTCGTTTGTTTACCTGGAGTCTCCATGACCCTTAAAAAATGTGGTCATTCGCCAGAATACTGGGGTCATGGACCCATTTTGGAGACTCCAGAGCGGCCGCAACCCCAAAGCTGTTTGAAGGGAAACTGAAGCGAACTTCAGACATCTGGGCCGTACTGACCCTGCTTTTCCGGCGGCTCACCTGCGAGCATCTTTTGGGACCTCTCGCGGTGACTCTGGTGGCCAAAGGGAGTATCTCTTGTGGAAATCAGCAAGCCAAAAACCAAGGGAGTCTTCCATTTGCTGAAGTCCCCTGGGAAAAAAACAAAAAAGAAGCCAGTAGTGATAAATTATCTTCAAAACCAACAGGGGAAAGTAATAATAATAATCATAATCATAATTAATAATGATGATAATAATAATAAAAGATAATAATAATAATAAGAATAATAATAATAATAAAAGATAATAATAAAAGATAATAATAAAAGATAATAATAATAATAATAATAATAATATTAATAATAATAATAATAATAATAATAATAATAATAATAATAAAATAAGAAGAATAATAATAATACTAATAATAATAAATATTTATTTCAGCAAATGGAAGGATTGAGAGGGTGCTCAGAAACCCTCCCGCCGGAATCCACTTAGAGCCTTCAAGGTTCCAAGCCCCTGCCCTGAGCAGCTCACGCCTATGCCATCGTCCAAGCTGCGCACGCTGAGGGTCGTTGTGCGATCAGCCTCCACTCCCAGCGAGCGGAAGCAACTGTGCAAGTAGTGCACAAATAGAAAACACCATAGGGGCTCTGTTTTTTTTGCATAATACATCCGTCACCTTTTAGTTTCCTGTTCCAAAATCAACCATGCGTGCCAGTAGCACCCGAAAGTCTCGGGTGCAGCACAACAAGCCATCGCTTCCTGAAACTGTGTTGTTGAACCTCAACGATGAATCCGTTGTTTCGCCCATGTTCGGCACCCGGTCAGAATCTTCAGATGGAGCCGGGCAAACAGCGCTTGCACTATGGCTGAGGTCCTTCTATCCCCCTCTCTTTGCCCTTGCCGTGTGTTGCAAAGCTTGGTTCCCTTTAAGTTATCTTCGTTTGTGCTTGGCTCACTTGCAAGATTTCGGGAACCGTACCCACTGGCTTCGTGGCCTCAGGATAGGTTGGGGTCCTGATTCGGTCTGGTCCCCAAGGGAGAAATGAAATCACAGAATTCACCGGGGCTCCAACTCCCTCCACCCCCTTAAAAGGACGCCTGCGACAAGTGCTCACAATGAAGAAATCACTTTACACATTGATTTGGCCGCGTCACGACAGCGTTGGTTGCGTCCTTCGTAGACATGCTAAACATGTTAGTTCCAAATGCTGTATTACTGGATTGCTTTGCTACAGTTTTGGCACAGTAAGTTACACACACACCCATAACAATACTGTAGTGTACATGGTCTTCGTTGACCTGAGTAGACACGAGACTCCACTCCTGATACCATGCACGTTGCACAAGCAAGTGCTACAGTATGCTAACAACTCATTGTGGCCACTCTTTATGATATATAGGACCCGAAGTGGTGCACCTACCCCAAAATGGTACCATTGGATTTCACCCACAGCCAGGTGTGTGTGTGTAAGTGTCAAAAACCCTACATTTCCCAAAAAGTTTAAGTCTAAAGATCCAACCCAATAGCCAATAGCAGTCAAGCTATAGGCCCCGTAGTGGTTCACGACCACTTCTCTACTAGCCCCGGGAGTTGAGGTGCTTGACCGCGACCCGCATCATGCCGTACGCTGACCGGAGCCTTGTTATTGAGCCCGATTGCAGAAACCTGACCCCAATTGCCGAGTGACCCCGGAAGGAATCTTCGGGTTGATCCTTTTTCAGTGAGGAATCCACCAAACAAAGAGGGTCACATGTTTCCCAACCCAAACATAGCACGATTTAACCAACCACAATAAGCAAAAATGGGGAACATGCTTCCCAACAACGACCAAGTAACCCACCTTCGTGCTTAAGCAACAGCTCGAATCGAACACAAAGCCGAGGCGTCGGCCATGCCATGGGATGCGATGCGAAACCAAGCGATCAAGGCGAGTCCATTTGTTTTCTTGTGGCTGGCCGAGAACAAATGGTACCAGCAAATGCTGTTATCGCTGCAATGTTATCTCCGTGTGTCCTACATTGCTGCATTTGTATTTTTTGGTGCACACATGTAACGCTCCCTGTTCTTTGCGTGCGCACATGTAATGCTTGAAAGCCTGTCAGGAGCAGGTCGCGCATCCGAGCACTCTGCACATTGGCTCAGTGCACCTTTCCCATATGACACCTACAAGATCCGTCCAACCCAGGGGGCCTCTTCGTGTCAATTTCATGAAACGTAGCTGCACGGCCGCAGTGCTCTTTCTTTGCCTGCGGCTTCGCACTGCGACCCTTTGGGTCCGCAATGGCTCATGCCGAGTTCAAGTTCCCTTTGAAGAAATCAGTCGCCCACTTTGAACGTCATCTGGCCATGGGGCAAAAGCCAAATCGTACCCCCAGTGAACATCCCAATCCCCACTAAAATAGGTCCTAAACTGGGTGGTGCACCTACCCCAAAATGGCACCATTGGTTTTGACCCACAGCGATCTCTGAACCTCTCGTTCCCCCTTGTCGTTGTGGATGTTGCAGCCCTTGGACTCTTATCCGGTTCCCCCGCTGTCACTGAGCACGCGGCCTGGGTATAGAAACCGAGTCAAAAACTTGCCACTGATATTCTCACTTGTCCAAAGACCCTGGAAAGAAATATCAACCTGTTGGAACCACCATCGGAAAGCCAGAAGGTCGGTCAAAAGCTAGGCTTTGGGCAAGTGAGCATTGGACCAGAAATCAACGATGGCAGGCCCAACAGAAGGCGCGACATGCTGGCGCGATTCCATAAAGCACCTCTAGCAACGCGCTGTTTTTGGACAGACGAACACGCGGGGATGCTGAGGGAGCGGGGATATGGGGGGATTCCCTTGGCGCCATTTCCCATATCAAACTTAGTCAAGGTGCATTTAAGGGGAATCCTCGTTCCCACTGTATCCCTGATGTTTGTTTCTTTGAATTGTGATCACCAAGCAGCGCACCACATGGTTACGAATGTCCACGGGCACAAAGCCGAAAATGCAAAGGGGGCCACACCTTGGGCACGTTCCATGTGTCGAACGTGCAGATCATGCGTCAGGTCTTGCCGGGTCGTCAAAACCAGGAGAAACACTCGTGCACACAAATTCCTCGAACACCCATTGCAAGAAGGCAAGAAGTGACGCCGGCGCCCTGAAATAATGCGGCAACACGGCATGACCACCGTTGTGCTGCATGATAAATGATGCTTCATGCTGGCACCATGAAAGCTACATGCCTGCCGGCAAAAGAAGTGAGGCGTTTGCTTCAGGCAGACGGTTTAAGGATTTCAATGATTGCGCGACGTCGTTTCTAGGTGCCAAATGGGGATCTGGAAAACTGCAAACTCCTCCCCTTTAAGCCTTTGGTTTCCCTCGGTAAGCTAAGGGTTGTGAGCTACTTAGCACCCAGGTTTGGTGGTCTGAAGTGCGTCTCTCAACAATATGCGATGCTGGTCACTGTGCGTTCGAGGATAGCAACGCGAGTTTTTTCGCATCGCTCCCAAGAGAGAAATCGTACAGCCACATCACTGCGTTGAAGGAGAAAAACCGACCCTCCCGTGCTATTCATGCAGCCAAACTGGTTGTATAAGACTTAGGGGTCTGTTGAAATGTATCATGCATGAGACAAATTGCCTGCGTTTTACGACCAGCATATTGGGGTGTCATCCTGTTTGACCATATGCCCCAAACCTCGCTGAGAAGTCTCCCTCCACATAGTATACGTGCCTATCTGTACACACGCCGCCATGATAGGGAAACCATAGCTTTGCAGCTGCGGAAGCGGCTTCTAGCCCATCAACCTGACAGCAAATTGACGGGTCGGAACATGTCTCCAACTTCTGATGGACATGTGGCCGATTTCAATTGCCGTCGGCAATTGACGCTTGAAAGACGTCCGAAATTCATAGCTTTCCAAGCAAATGGCTTCAGATCTCATGGGTGTGATATGTAATCCCCCGCCCCTCCCCAAAGTTGACTTTTTCATTGAAGGTGTGTGACTCCAAGTGCCTTTTTGGCAATGGATTCACATGAATTGTATTAAGTGATGGTTGGAGAAGTCGCAGGTCTTGATTTAGAGCCACTTGCACACCTACCCACGCCTGCACGCAAGTTGTGCAACCTTCTCTTGGGCCCGAACGGACCTGTGGAGCCAAAAGAGTGGACCTGCAACTCAGGCGAGCTGGCGACACGTCTCCACCGCTTCACCGAAGCAACTCATGCACACATGCTCACAAAGCACAGACACAGATGCAAACAGAAACGAGGTCACAGAAACACACACACTCACACACACAGACAGCTAGACAGACAGACAAACAGACAAAGACACAGACGCCGCACACAGACAGACAGACAGACAGACAGACAGACAGACAGACAGACAGACAGACAGACAGACAGACAGACAGACAGACAGACAGACAGACAGACAGACAGACAGACAGACAGACAGACAGACAGACAGACAGACAGACAGACAGACAGACAGACAGACAGACAGACAGACAGACAGACAGACAGACAGACAGACAGACAGACAGACAGACAGACAGACAGACAGACAGACAGACAGACAGACAGACAGACAGACAGACAGACAGACAGACAGACAGACAGACAGACAGACAGACAGACAGACAGACAGACAGACAGACAGACAGACAGACAGACAGACAGACAGACAGACAGACAGACAGACAGACAGACAGACAGACAGACAGACAAAAAGACAAAAACAGACAGACAGATAGACAGATAGACAGACAGAGAGACCGACAGACAGACAGACAGACAGACCGACAGAGACACAGACACAGACACAGACACAGACACAAACACAGACACAAACAGCAAACACAGGCACTGAGCAAACACACCGGCAGGCAGCAGGCAGGCAGGCAGGCAGGCAAGCAAAAGACACACAGCCAAACAAATGCAAACACTCTTTTCTATAGAGTACGCTTAGAAAATTTTGGTCAAATGGGGCATCAATAGTAGCTGACATGTAGACGACCAGTAAGGCTTGGTCCAGGTTCTCAACTCTTGATAGCCTGCCTCTACTCGGAGCAGTTTTCATGGTTCACCTATACACGTTGATGGCTGGAACGCCCTCAACACTGGCTGGTGGACATGAATTCACTTGCAAAGCATGTCCATTTAAACAAACATCCCATTCCGTGCATTCCTCTTCCCAAGCAACCCAAGCGACAGTTAGGATGACGCATCTCTAACCAAGGAACGGGATCTTTTGATGGCACATATGCATGGGTCTGAATTTCAATTGGGGCCCCTTTGGTGGACACCATTTAGGCGGGGATTCATGTCCACCAACCACTTTGGAGGGGGTCCCCTATTGAATATTATTGAATATTCATAGCCATGAATGAGGCCCTTTTGCTTAAGGCGGGGTACAAACCCACCGGACGACCCTCCGGACGAAAGCCAGCCTCCACGACAGACGGGCGCCTGCCCCGCGCTCGGCAAATGGCGTCCGCATCGGCGACTACAGCACTGGAGCGGATGCCATTGACCTGCCAAATGCCAGGTTTTCTGCCTGGGACCGCCCTTTCAGGCTTTAAACACGAATTATCCTTCCGAGGGCCCATGCATTTCCCATTTGCTATCCAGGCTTGCCCCAGGGCGGAAAAAAGGGGGGAAATGGAGTTTATAATTTCCCTTAAGAATCTCGCCTGCCTTTTGCTTGGCTTGCTTCTGAGCACCCTGCCCGCTGTTTTCCGATTCCCTCTACGCCCTGAACAAATGGTACACAAACACAAACGCAGCACCTCTCGGCGCTAACCATCATTCATCAATGGGCCATGGGACAAAGTACCCCCAGCAAGCATCCCAATCCAACCACTAAAATAGGTTCTAAAATGGGTGGTGAATTCACCAACCAAAATGGGATCCCAAAACGGTTTTGACAACCACAGCCAATTGGAACTAAGGAAGCCTGCAGGAAAGGACGCTCATCATGGGTATTGCCCATTGCCCGCCCTCCGGCGCCCACCTGCGATGGATCAAAAACGCGTGACACGGTATGTCCCTTGGGCTCTTGGCAGCTTTTTGCAGCCACGCAAAACGAGGGTATGTTGGAAAAGGTGAGGTGGCTGCCAACAAGGCACCTTTTTTTTACCCTTGCTCCCACAAACAGAAGGCACCTATGAAAATCATCCCGAAGAGCGACTTTCTCTTGGAGGGACCTCTCTGTCAAGTGCAATGGTGGGAAGGAGGGAAGGAGGGAAGGAGGGTGCTTGCAGGGAAAACAAATAAGCGTTCACCAACGCTTTTGACACATCGAAAAGCGTTCAAAGAGAAAGGTGCCGAGGACCCTCTCTGAAATTGCCCTGGTCGAGCAGCTCGTTGGCTCCCAATTTGTTTTCCAGGTCCTCCAGATTTGAGAGGCTAGAATAAGGGTACCTTTTTTCTGTAATCTATTTTAGTAGGGAACCCTCCCCCCAAAAAAAGAGAAAAGAGGAGAACAGAAGTGACGGAATCCCAAAAGAAAGGGCTTGTTGCAAAGGCGCCCTTTGCACCTCGCTTGGGGGAATATGTGGGCTGCTGAGTCAAAGGGGGCTGTTTCAAACCAAGGTCGCAGAGCTGGACTCCTGTCAGGATTCCCGACCTGGGCTCGAAGGCTGTTCACGGACTTCGGGGCCATCACATCCCTCAGCACGGATTCGAGTCATGCTGGAAGCGTCCGTTGTCCAGTGACCCTGATATATATATATATATATATTATATTGACATGCATAATATATATATATGTTATTATTATTATTATTATTATTATTATTATTATTATTATTATTATTATTATTATTATTATTATGTTTTTCTGGGGACTGGGAACGGGATGGTCATTTTGCCATATGTTTTGGAACAAGATAGGCATAATGTGTTAAATCCAGATGCATCAACCTCGGACAGGTGAAAGCCTTGGGGTCTCAGTGGTCTGGGGCGGCTCTGAGGTAAGGTTCCGCAGGGTTCCGCAACGGGTCCGCAGGGTTCTGCGCGGCTCTGAGGCTGATTTGTCCCCCAAACGTGATCCAGATTCCATCCAAATGGGCTGCCCCTATTGTTCAATCCAGCGTGTGTTAATACGGGGCATTGGCAAATTGATTGACCTGGGCACTTGCAACGGACATTTCAACCAAGCGCATTTATGTGGCTTCGCATTACAAGCCAATGCGCCAGCGTATCATCTCCTACCACTCATGGCCTAAGGAAGCCCTACAACCGAGGCCCGCGCCCAACGTTCGAACAACTTGTTCTGCGAGCTCTGTCCTTTTCCATGATGATTCTCTCTCGTCAAGCAAGCAATATGCTCTCTGGGGGGTTGCGGCGTGCCGTCTCTCTCCTCGTAACCGGCATATGTTGCCACGGAGGGACGTCGGATTGCGTAGCCACCAGTTCCACCGGCCTGTGGCGTGCACTGGCATGAGCTGGGCATGCGTCCTTGACTCAGGGGCATCGCATCACCACCAAATTCCCTCCCGAAGGGGGCAATGCAGCTCAAGTTGGCTCGCAGTTGGGTTTTCTGGTATTTTTTTCCACCTGTCTGAGACCAAGAAAAGATCGTTTTGGAACAGTACCCCCTCTTGGTTGTTTTGAAGGGACAACACAATTCCAACGGGAAACCAACGTCTTTGCGCCAGCAAGCTTTGGGGTCTCCGGTGGATTCCACGAAAAATACCTGGCCATGGGTCAAAAGCCAAATCGTCCCGGTGAACATCCCAATCCCCACTAAAATAGGTCCTAAAATGGTGAATTCACCTACCAACCAAAATGGGATCCCAAAGCGGTTTTGACAAGCACAGCCATCTGGCCCTTTACATTAAATAAGATAATTAGAATAATACTAATAATAATGATGACAATGAAAATAATAATGATAATAGTAATGATAATAATGATAATAAGTATTAAAAATCTTTAAATGTTCTGCCTCTTGTTGGTTTGATCCCTTTGAGACCTCTCTCAGCCGCCTCCGGGCTCACCTTTGGAGGCTGTTGGCCAGGCAGCGTCACCTGGCAGAAGCTCCGACAAGTCCACGACGCCGTCGATGGGCGCGGCGGGGGTACCCCCTTTTTTTCCTGGGGTTGTTAAACACAGAAAGGGCGCGGCGTTGTTCCTTTTTTTTCTCGGGTACCCCCTGTTTTTGGGGTTATTATTTGAAGGACCCCACGCTTTTTTTCTGGGGTCGTTTTAAACGACCACCGAAAGGAAACCCCCCCATTTTGGGGTTTAGGGTGTGGCGTTTTTTTTCCTCGGGTACCCTCCCACCAGCGAACATGGAAGTGAAAAAAGGCCAACTAACCAAGAGGAAAGTTGTCTTTCTACAGGGGTCTATGCACTTCCATGTTAGCTGGTAGGAGGGTACCCCTTTTCTTTGGGGGGGGGGGGGTGGTTTTAAAGGACCACCGAAAGGAAATCACCAATTTTAAGGGGTTTAGTTTGAAATTTATCCCAAAACACATTTCGGAAAATCGACCTCCTGGGCTCCATATCAACTTGAGGCCGCCGAGGCACCTACAGTTGAACAGGAAAGAGAGCGTCCCCTCATGGGTGGGTTTTGAAACCCGTGAAATGCACCAATTTTCAACCCCACATGTGGCTGTGGCTCAGAAACATGTGCCAAAATGGCACCTTGGTAAATGGAACCCAAGAGTAAAACCTACGTAAGTAACCCCTGCTGTTTTCCCCAAGAATGGCGCGCGTTTAGGCAGATTTTCACATTCTAGAGTATGCGGGCAATGCAGTTTTGTTGCTGTGGACCTTGGATTTTGTGCCCAAAATTGCTTCTGTTGTAAGCAGGCAATATCGGACAATTGGAGCTTGTATTTGTGCCCAAAAGTGCTTGTCAGTTGCAGGCGTGCACTATCAGACAGTATTGAAGAAAAGGCCAGTCACCAAAAGTGTCTTGTCTATTGCCAGTGCAGCTGCAATTATCTTGCATCTTTCTTGTCATTCCTGTTACACAGGTTGGCATTAGAACTGAAATAGAATTCAGATAGAATCCTGTATGGAAAGACAAGCTGGTCGTTTATGCTAATTTGCGTGCACCTTAAAAAGGAGAGACAAACGAACAGAAACTCAAGGGGAATGCAATTTCAGTTCTATTGGTTTACAGTTTGAATCATATCTTAATTAGTTTTCAAGTTAACATAGTATGTTGAATTAGAATTGAAATAGGTTCCCTTCCCAAGTATATTTATGATTAATGGGAATCTAATAAGGAAAGAGAAGCTTGTCGTTTCTTCTAATTTGCAAGCCTCTGAAAACCAGAAAAACCCATAGAAAGAAAGCTGGTTTCATGACTCATGACAATCCGTTTGCAGGGTTTGCAATGCGATGCTTTACATTGAAATTGGATTTCGATTAGAATTTAAGTTGTTTTATTTTGAATTAGATATTCATCAGCACTTTCCCTCCAAGTTAATTAGAACCTTTAATTTACTTATTAATCTAGATCTGCATTGGGATGTAATCTTGTAATTATATTGTCTAAGCAGGGTGTAAACAGGAATTCCTTCCAAATCTAAACGGAAATTCCTTTCCACATATGATTCTGTGTTGACATGTGTATAACTAGAGTTTAGCAAGGAAAACCAAGCTGGTTGTTTCTTCTAAGTGACTCAATTGTTTTGTTAGTTTAAATCAGAGTTTAGATGGGATTGCCTTTCCAAGCATCTAGGATTCTAATTAGATTTTGGCTATAATCTAGATAGAATATGGTAAGGAAAGACAAGCTGGCTGTTTCCTCTAGTTAATTTGAATTCGGATGCGGTTAACAGGTAAAATGCCTGAGCCGGGATGGCATATGTTTTCATCTTGCAGAAAAATGTTTCTTCTTGCCGACCCCAACCTCAAATACAACAAATATCATTAACGAAAGAACAACAAACCCTGCATATCCATTCTGGCTGAGTTAGGGTCTAAATTGTTGTTGGTTTCTGCTGTTTTGGTTTTCTGGTGCTTTTGTGTTTTTGCTGTTGCGCTTTTAGGAAAAGCAACACATATCGCGAACACCAACAAAACAGATCCTATGTATCCATGCTGGCTTGGTTAGGGTTTTAAAACCAACCAACAAAAACACAAATCCGACCCTATGTATCCATGCTGGCTGAGTTAGGCTCTTATTTTGTTTGCTTTGTTTGGTGTCCTCAATATTATTGTAACTTGTTTTTTAAACAACTGCACAAAGCAACCTTGAGAAAACCACAAAAACAATAAGACCCTATGTATCCATGCTGGCTGAGTTAGGGTCTGACATTTTGGCTGTGCGTGTTTTGCTTTGCTTTCTCGAGGTTTTGATTTATTGAAAGTATCAAAGACACATACCCAACAACTACAAAAATCCCCGAGTGTCAAAAGCCCACTCCCCTTTGAGGGGCCCTTCTGAAAGGGAAACCCAAACCAAAGCCAGCAGGCGGATTAAAAAGGGCATCCCGGTTTCTGCCCCTCTGCAGTGGGGCGAACAAGGGAAAAGGCCGTAAAATGATGAAGCAACCTGGCATGAAACAGTAGGTGCCGAGAACCCGCCAAAAAATGCATGGCGCCGACCCTTGGTACCAGAGTTGGGCAACCCCCTTGTTTCAATAAACCATTGTTGTGGAAACAACCGCCTGTAGGTGTCCTTTTCGGGAGACCCAACCGGGCCTGATTCGTTAAACACATGTAAATTTGTGTGTGTGTGTCATAATGGAGAACCTGCCCCATCATGATTTGCCCTTTAGGTTCCCTTTACATGTTCCTGTGCAGGGGGCCGGCATGTTGGTTCCATGTTGGCCGACCTTTGCAACCAACATGCCTCCAACCCATACTGTGGCTAGACGAAATCCATTTCGCACCACTTAGAAACTATGGTTGACATAATTGTTTTTGCTGTGGTATTTACAGGGGAATGACATGGTATCCAAGGGTTTCTTAGGGCTTCTTAGGGTCTTTTAGGGGTTTCTTAGGTGTTGCATGGTTTTCTGAGGTGTCTGATCGGTGGGATTTGGTCCAACCCCTACGAACGCGTCCAGGGCTTCGGCGATGCGGCCAGCAGAAGAGGGGCGGCTGGCAGCGGAGGCTGTTCGCTCGCCGAAAGGATGCCTGGATTTGCGGCAGGCGTCGCTGCCGTTTGGAGCCGCCCAATCCCAAGTAGCTTTCATTTGCTTGAGTCCCCTGGAAAAAACAAAAACGGAAAAAATATGTCCACTGGTGATAGATTCCCTTTCAAACCAGGTGAAACAAAAAATAGCCTTAAGCAAATGGAAGATTAGCCGGGTGCTTCTCAAAACGGTGGACGTATTTCCAATTTGTTGGAATTAAAGCGGAAGACCAATGAAACCATGCAAGTTAGGGGACGCAAATTTTGAGCAACACCCGGCTTACTTGCTCCCTGGCCATGTCCCTCTCCGGAGGCAAGCGGGTTTGAGGGAGGAAAATACAAACGCAAGACAACAAGGAATGAGTAAAATCAGAGGAGTCATGATAAGAGGAGAAAAGCATACGTGGCTCCTTCAAAACCATATTTGACTATTGTATTTGGCCTTTCTTACTACCATATCCTCCTTTTGAGCTGATCCGGTGTGAGGTCGCTGCTGAGGAGTCATCGCCTGCATGAAACCATGGGTTACCTGCGCCAGAGGAGTTCGCGGATCTCTCTTTTGGTGGACATTCACGGCCTATCAACTTGGCTGTGGCTCAAAACTTGGTTAAAGCCCCGGGAAAAAAGATCCGTGATGAATTCCTTTTTAAAACCAAGGGGAACAAAACAACACAGATTCATTTCAGCAAATGGAGGAAAACATCCAACATGGCACCTTGGCAAGACGAGCACCTGCGTAACCCCAGCTGTGAAAAAACAAATCGAGCCACACCCACTTGGAACTCAGCCCCTTGGACATCAACCGACCCGGTTGCATGGATGGAGAAAACAACATTCAGCCACAAACTGGTACCTGACAGAAACGGCCGGAAACACTTCGGGGATGTTTCAGGGGAAAAAAACACGTGTTCCGAATTCGGCCGTGATTTCTAGCTTTTCGAGGCCATAATTCTGCAAGGCATGCCCGTGATTGTTTAAGCCAGTGATGCGTACGCTGTTGGCAGCAATTCTTCAAACTTTTGAAACCCTCTCCAAACAACACGCTCGGGTCACTGTCTCCCAACCAGCACGATTGCCACGTCTGTTAGTGCATGTTGGCACAGGAGTCAATGCCGGGGGGTAAACGCATCATTGGGCGGCGCGGCGGGAAATTGAGTATTCTTGTTGAAAGGTTCAGCGTAACTTCTCGAAGAGCTCGCCCAGCGTCATCTTGGTGGTAGTTCGGCAAAGTACCCGAAAACAAGCGTAGAAGCCCGGCATAAAGTCCTTGGTCCCCTTTCTGCGTTCGCCCGTTTTTGTTTAACAACGGCCAAAAAGAAGTGGAGACAAGCCAACGGCCAGCCAACAAAAAAAAAAAGAAGTGCCCTTCAGGCTCCAGAAAACCATTCTGGAGTTTGCGGCCACTAGAAATTCTGCGGGACATAGCTACATCATTGGTATCCACGTCTTTTTTGCTGACTCAACCAAACAGGCAGGTCAATACATGCTGCCCCCCCCCCCATTCAACTGCCTTGACGGGAGGCATCGCCTCAGCGCATAATAAGTGCACGTCAAAGCCAGGACATGTGGACATGGACGAGTTCTTTTCTCTTCTGTGTTTGTTTTGTTTTTGTTTTGTTTTGCGGGGGACTCCTTTTTTGGTTAAATTTGAAGGGACACCAACAGGAATCTTTCCACTAATTATTTTGGTGTTCACATATTTGGACGCAAACTCGCATTCTATAGTGGCTGAATGATATCTTTCGCCAAAGGACGATATCCTGTTTCAGCAAGCTGCTTCAGCCTTGCTCTGCATTTCCTGACTTGTGCAAACTGAGAGCGCGGCGAACACTTGCTAGACACTGCACCCTGACAGGCCTGAGCCCTGAAGAAAACGCAGGCCGAGGCGCAGTTTCGCTTGCAAGCCAAGCACACTTGGCAGATCCAGACCCTAGATGCTGTGGGGGTGTACTGTTTTGAGGGTACCTTCCTTTGGGTTGTTTCGTGGAGGGACATAAAGGCTTTGATTGCAGACCAGGGACCGTCCCCTTCTCCCTTTCGTCTACCACGTAAGCGACGTCGCTTTTCCTCTCTGAAATGGCTTTCCCGAAACCACAGGCCAAGGAAACTGGCGAACCGTTCTGTAACCGTTCTGTGTAACGAAATACACTTCCAATTTCCCCTAGGCCAATTTTTTCTGTGGTCTACTTTAGTAGAATAACCCTCCCAACCAAAAATTGGTTTTCAGGGAACCCAGCTGGGGGACCTAGTCCCTGAAGCCCTACAGCCGCTTTCACTTCATCACTTCGTCCACCGCTTGCTCCTTGCAGCTGCAACCTTCTCCTGCAGTTCGGGGTTGGGGCGGGAGCACCTCTCCGGGGGGCGAAAAACCCATTGGCCCAGGGTTCAGCTATCAAAAAGCCCCAGGCAACTCTACAGAAAAAATCGTGAAACGATTGCCACAATCAGAGTTTGTTAAAAAAACAAATAAACAACTCTACGGGAAAGCAATGTACTTGACACAAATTAAAGTGTTGGACAACTGGTTCATGAAAAAAGCACCCAGGCAACTCTACGGGAAAGTAGCGAAACGCTTGCCAAAATTAAAGTTTTGGACAAATGGTTCAGTTAAAAAAGACCCAGGCAACTTTGCAGAAATTTGCGAAACGCTAACCAAAATCAAAGTCTTGGACAAGTGGTTCAGTTAAAACAACCAGGGAAAGTAGCAAAACACGTGACACAAATCAGAGTTTTGGACAGATGGTTCATGAAAAGAAAACCAGGCACCTCTACGGGAAAGTAGCGCAACGCTTGCAAAAGTCAGAGTTTTGGACAAATGGCTCAGCTAACAAAAGCCCCAGGCAACTCTACGGGAAAGCAAAACGCTTGCCAAAATCAGAGTTTTGGACAAATGGCTACGATTTTTTTGAGGGTCTGTAACGCGCGACGCGCCACGAATCTTATTGCGGAGGTCTGTAACGGAGGCCCTTGTTACGCAGGTCTGTAACGGGAAAACATGTCTTGACAAGTACCAGTATCAGTAGCACAATGTAGCGCAGAACAACGAAGAGCAGCAGCTCCCGCTACGCAAAGCACGCCTCCGCAGACCCAGCTTAAAATTTGCAACTGCTGACACAAAACCAAGCGATGGCCAAAGCGCTGGGGTTGGGTCTGTAGCGAGGTATGTCACGGCTATGTAACGAGGCCTGTAACGAGGCAAGGCAAAGCGCAGTCTGCAAAGCGCACCTCCGCAGCTCCAGCTTGCTTGCAGCTATTCCACGCAAGCCACGCTGCGGAAAAAGGGGGGTTGCTGGCCTGGGCTAGGGTTGGGTCTTTAACGAGATATGTAACGGCTATGTAACGAGGTCTGTACCGAGGCAAAGCAAAGCGCAGTCTGCAAAGCGCGCCTCCGCAGCTCCAGCTCGATTGCAGCTGTTCAACGCAAGCCACGCTGCGGCAAAAAGGGGGGTTGCCGGGCTGGCTGGGCTGGGGTTGGGTCTGTATTAGGGTTGGGGGCAGGTTGGCTTGGGTTGAGTTTAGGGTGGGTTTAGCTTTTTTTTGGGTTTTTTTTGGGTGAGTTTAGGGTGGGGGCAAGGTTGGTTTAGGGTTGGTTTTTGGGCTTGAGTTTAAGGTTGGTTTTCGGGGTGGTTCGGGATTGGTGGTTAAAGCTGGGTTTAGAGTGTGTTTAGGATTGGGTTAGGGTTGGCTTAGGGTTGAGGTTGGTTTTGGGTCGGCGGGCCTGTTCAGGTTCGGTTCTGTGTTGGTTTAGGTTGGGCTGAGGGTTGCATTAAGGCTAGATTAGGGTGGGGTTAGGGTTGAGGTGGATTTAGGGTGGGTTTATTGTTGGCTTAGGCTAAGCTTAAGGTGTGGGGCGGGATTACGGTTGGATCAGGGTTGGGGTGGGTTTAGGGTGGGTGCTGGATTAGCTTGTTGGTTTAGGGTTGGTTTAGTTTGTTGATTTAGGGTTGGTTTAGGCTTGGTTTAGGGTTGGTTTGGGATTGGTCACGGGTGGGTTATGTATGGTTTAGGGTGGTTTCGAGTAGGTCTGTGGTGGTGTAGGGTGTGTGTAGAGGGTTCATTTAGGATGGCTTGGCTTGGGGTGGGTTTAGAGTTGGATAAGAGATGTTTCTGGTTTGCTTGGGGCGTTTTAGCGCGATTTAGGGTTGGTTTGGTGCGGGGGGTGGGTTTGGGGTTGGTTTGGGCGTGTTTGGCTGGTTTGAATTGATTTAGAGATATTCAGGGTTGGCAAGGTTTGGCTTAGGGTGGGCCTAGGTTGGTTTGGGTTCGGTGCGGGGCCGGGCTTAGGTTGGGGGGTGAAACAAGCAAGCTCGCGGGTGGAAAAAACAAGGGGGAACCTTTTTTTCAACCCTTCAGACCCTTTCTTTCAACCCTTCCCTGTTTTTTCAACCCTTGACCATTTCTATTAAACCCTCCCCCCGTCTTTTTTAACCCTCCCCCCTTCTTTTTCAACCCTCCCCCCCTTCTTTCTGACCCTCCACCTCTTCCTTTTGACCCTCCATTTCTTCTTTGCCAACCCTGTGGCCGAAGCCTGCGGCAATTGTGGGATTAGGGTTTGTGTAGGAAGGGTTTAGAGGCTGGTCAGGATTTGTTGAGGGTGGGTGTAGGGCAGGTTTGGGATGGGAAGGATAAGTTTATGGTTGGGTGTGGAGAGCAGGTCTGTGCTGGGTGTAGGGCAAGTTTAAAGTTGGATGAGGGTGTTTGGCTTGGTTTGTTTACCCTGACTTAGAGTTGGGCTTAGGGTTGGCTAAGGCTGGGCTTAGAATGGGTCTGCCGTGGGTTTATGGTTTGGGGTTGGTTTAAGATGCAATTGGGTTGAGGGTTGGTTTTGAATGGGTTTAGGGTGAGGGTTGGGTTTAAGGTTGGATTTACATAGTGTTAGTTTAGGGTGGGATTAGGGCTTGTTTCAGGGTGGATTTAGAGTGGATTCAGTGTTGGAATAGAATCTGTTTTGGGGGCGGCTTAGGGAGTAGGGTTGGATTAGGCTAGTTTAGAGCAGGATTAGGGTTTGGTTCGGTGGTCAGAGTAGGTCTGTGGTGGCTGTAGGGTTGGCTCAGGGCTGGGATTGGCTCAGGGCGAGTATGCGGTTTGTCTAGGGGGTTGGTTTGGGCTTGAATGTGGATTGGTTTTACGGTTGGCCTGTGGCTGGATTTAGGGGTTGGGCCAAGCTTAGCTTAAAGTCTCAGGGTGGGTCTAGAGTTTGATCAGGGTGGGTTCATGGTTGGTACAGGGTGGGCGTATGGTTGGTTTAAGGGTGGCTCAGGGTTGGTTAGGGTTGGTGTAGGGCTGGCCTAGGTTGGTTTGGGTTGAGTTTAGGGTGGGTTAGCTTGGATTTAGGGGTTGTTTTTGGGTGAGTTTAGGGTGTTTAAGGTTGGTTTTCGGGTGGTTCGGGATTGGTGGTTAAAGCTGGGTTTAGAGTGTGTTTAGGATTGGGTTAGGGTTGGCTTAGGGTCGGTTTTGGGTTGAGGGTTGCTTTTGGGTTGTTCAAGGTTGGTTCTGTGTTGGTTTAAGTTGGGCTTAGGGTTGCATTAA